GCAAAGCAATCGGCACTCGCGAAACTTGTCATGAACAACCGGCTCTTCGCATCACCGCCGTCGCCTCCTTCCACCTCTCCCTCGTCGACCTCGCCCACGTCCCCCGAGCTGGAGCATCCCCACCATCTGGCTGTGCTGCCACCCCCCGCCAAAGATGTCTACAGCACGCTCCCAGTCCCGATTCCAAGCATGGCCAGCGCCGTGCGCATCATGAACGACTTGACAGAGACGCCTCCGTATTCGAGGAGCGTCACGTCGACTGCCCCCAGCTCGCCACGCATGTGAGTGCTTAACAATCGTCCTTTGTTGCGGTGGTGGATTCCCGCATGTCCCGGCGACTTTGTTCTGGACTTGGGTTTTTTTTTCTCCACCACGAAACCTGCACGATCCATGACCGCAACTACGTCACTTGCCAAGAATGCAGGCTAATATACCGGGAAAACAACAGACCTCCTCAGCGACAGAATTCTGGCAGCCAAACTCCCCGAGTTCGACCCCATGCGACGACTCTCAATATTCCGGGCATGACCCGGTCCAAGGTTTCGCCCGACGGACGGATACCGCAGCGCGATGTGGCAGCCAAGCTTGTCATTGTCATGGTCGGCTTGCCGGCCCGTGGAAAATCATACATCACAAAGAAGCTGCAGCGCTATCTGACATGGCAGCAGCACGAATCGCGCATCTTTAATGTGGGCAACCGGCGACGTAAGACGGCCGGCCGCAAGGTGTCGATTCACCCGAAGCTGGCACCAGAACCCGACTGTCTTGATCCTCCAGTCCAGGCTGCTGAAATCCTACTGAATGGCCTGCCAGAACCTAGCGGTTGCCTGAGCCCCCGAGACCGAGGAGAGCCTACAGAATTCGACCTCAACCAGGACGATCCACAGAAGGAGACGGACCAGTCGGCCCAATTCTTCGACCCCAAGAACGAAAAGGCAGCGGCTTTTAGGGAGCAGGTGGCAATGGATACCCTGGACGAGCTTCTGGACTACCTTTTGGACGGGGGCGGTGCCGTGGGTATCCTTGATGCCACAAATAGCACTATCGCGCGAAGACAGCATGTCGTGGATCACATTAAGCAGAGGGAACCCAAGCTTGGCATCCTGTTCATTGAGAGCATCTGCAGAGATCCCGACTTGCTTGAAGCAAACATGCGATTGAAGCTTTCTGGCCCCGATTATCGGGATAAGGATCCAGTCAAGTCACTGGAGGATTTCAAGGCTCGAGTTGCCGCCTATGCCAGCGCATACGAGCCCCTTGGAGAGTACGAGGAAGAGCATGACATGCAATACATTCAGGTACGATGCGGAAGCCTTTTTTTTCTTTCTTCTTTGTCCATCATTTCGCTAACCTCCTATAGATGGTCGATGTTGGGCGAAAGTTGATTCAGCACAGACTCAAGGGATTTTTAAGCGGCGGGCTCAGCACGTACCTTTCCAGCTTCAACCTCGCCCCCCGCCAGATTTGGATCACCCGCCATGGCCAAAGCATCGACAACGAGCTGGGCAGATTGGGCGGTAACTCTGCTCTTACCGAGCGGGGCCACTGCTATGCCCAAGCTCTCCATCGCTTCATCACTCACAAGCGAAAGGAGTGGATTATGGAGCAGAAGAGCAAGATGGCGCAGGCGTCATTCCCTCCTCTTCCGGGAGACAACACTCCGCCTTATCCAGATATGTATAGCGATCTAGATGAGAAGAACTTTTGCGTCTGGACGTCAATGCTGCAGCGCAGCGTAGAGACGGCCGAATACTTTGACGTTGACGACGACTACGACGTCAAGAACTGGGAAATGCTCAATGAGCTCAACTCTGGCCAGTTCGAGGGCATGACATACGACGAGATTGCCTCCAAGTTCCCCGAGGAATTCAGGAAGCGTGCTAACGACAAGCTCAACTACATCTACCCGGGTGTCGGCGGTGAGGGCTACCTTCAGGTTATTAGCCGCCTCCGCGACATGGTGCGGGAGGTTGAGCGCATCACCGACCACGTGCTGATCATTGGACACCGGTCCGTTTGCCGTGTCCTGATGGCCTATTTCATGGACTTGACTCGAGAGGACATTACCGACATGGACGTGCCCCTGGGTATGCTCTATTCCATTGAGCCCAAGCCTTATGGCATTGCCTTCCACGCCTACCGATATAACGAATGGCGAGGCTGGTTTGACGAGATGCCCAACTACAAGCCTCAGAAGGCTGCTCGTGGTAGCGTCTAAAGCCCCTTTTGGCACCACCTCGTCTGTTTCTCTCTTCTCTTTATTTTCTTTTTCTTCTTTTCTTTCTCAGTTTCTTAAGATATCCGCCGGGATAAGCAGGCCAGGCAATGCATTAGTTGTACAACAAGAACGGAACAAATTTGGCGTTGGGACGATAAGCGTGGAAGGGTAGGGATTTTTACGGTGGGGGATGACACCTACTATACAGGGAGAAACAGGACAACCTCATTACGACTACACTCTTTACAACCTACAGAGCGGAAGAGGAGTGTCCTTTGATCACATGCAGATTCGAGTTCTCCTATGACGGAGCATTGATAATGCCTCCTGTCTGGTCTCTTTTTTTTTCTTCTTTGTTGCTCGGTTTTCCCTTATATATTTTTCTTCTTCTTCATCCGGCTTGGGGCAAGCTTATGGCGTTTAAAGGGGGACAAGAAAGAGGCAAACACGGAACTTTTAGCCTACTCATGGATTTGCTTGTTTTTACTTGATTGATTGGCAGCACTTGATTTGTGCCGCGCTGTTACTTTAGGCGACGAAGACTAGATGAAAAGTAACCATATGCTTGTCTTTTATGAACTTTTTCAAAGACAGATTGCCAAAGATTTTTGCTTCTAGCCGTGATGTCGTCTCCTGTATGCATATTTATAACATGATACGGGATAGTACTGATAATTTCACATCTCTCGTCTTGCATTGTATAAGATATCGGCTGTGTTTCCTTTTACCGGTATGATGAGAACAAACAAAATTACAAGTAAAAGATCTGCCTGTGCAACGAGCAGATCTAGCATTACATACTGAGCCAGAAGTTTTTTTGGCCTCTCAGAAGAATCCTCATTCCTATAACGCCGTGCCATGCAACAACCCTAACAAATCCCAAGTTAAACCCCCCTTTGCCAGTTTTATAACCCCCAATAAACAAGGACCTAGAAGCCGCAGAGCGATTACTTTTCTCGGGCCAAGACCATCTTTTCTCTCTCGCTTTTCCGGGCCTGGAACTGCTTGCTCGAGTGCTTCCGCTCGTTCTCCTCGCGGCGCTTGATGGACTTGAGCTCCTCGTTCTTGATCTCGCCGGCCTTCTTGACGACCTTTGGGATGTGGCGGTGGCGCTTGATGCGGGCGATCTCGGGCATGTGTCCGTAGCGGCGGACGAGGGCGTCGTTGTACTCGAGGGCCTGGCGGTGGCGGGAGGACTTGACGCCCTGTCGCTGGGAGGCGTTTGCGCGCCAGATGCGGACGTTGCCGTCGTCGGAGCCGGAGAGGAGGTACTTTGCGTCGGGGGTCCATTTGGCGGCGAGGACGCGCTGCATGCGCTTGGTGTGGTACATGTCGCGGGAGTGGCCGCGGTCGCGGTTCCAGAGACGGATGGTGCGGTCCCAGGAGGCGGAGACGAGCTCCTCGCCGGTCGGGGAGAACTCGACGTCCATGACGGCGGCGACGTGGCCCTTGAGGACGTTGCGGGCGCGGTCCATCTTGCGCATGTCGAAGAGGTAGATGTTGTGGTCCTCGGAGGCGGCGGCGAAGTTGAAGGCCTCCATGGGGGACCAGGAGATGCGGTTGCAGGCAAAGGTGAGGACGGACTTTGCGACGGGGGTGGAAGTGCGGAGGTCGTAGATGACGATGGAGCGGTCGTTGGAGCACGAGGCGAGGACCGACGTCTCGACGTAGTTGAAGGAGACGTCTGAGATTGTGTCTGTCGACGTCGGCCAGTGGAGCACCTCGGGGGCAGCCGTGTGTCGCTCCAGGTCGTAGATGGAGATGACGCTCGACGCCACGGCAAAGGCATTGCGTGAGCGGTGGTGCGAGAGACTGGTGAAGGCGCCGGCGCCGAGCCAGGACGAGATCGGGGCCGAGTCGCTGGGCAGGTTGTACGGATCGAAGAGCTTGACGGTGCGGTCGGCGGCGCACGTCAGCAGCTTCTGGTCGCGCGTCCACTCGAGGCCCTTGACGATGTTCTCGTGCGCGGTGGTGTGCCAGACCTCGTCGCGCGAGGCGAGGTCCCAGACCTTGACGACGCCGTCGCCGCTGCCGCTGGCGAAGCGCTCGAGCGAGTTGGGGTCCTTTGCGATGGAGTAGACGCCGTCGACGTGGCCCCTGCCCATCTGGCCGATGAAGGGCGCCGCGTGCATGCGCTCCAGCTTGACGGCATTGAGGGCTCGCTTGTATTCGCGCGCTCGCTCAAAGGGGTGGACGGCCGAGTCGAGGTTCCGCGGCTGCTTGACGGTGTCGGTGCCGGGCGGCTGGACGGCCGATACGGACCGGCTGATGGCCTTGATCTTCATTTTTTTGGTGTTTCGTTTTGTTATTGGTTATATTCCCAGTTGCTGATTGTTACACAATGATGGTGTTTCAGCTTAGGGTGAATAATTGGTGAAGACTTGGAGGCATCTAGTTTTTCATCAAAAGATTCAAAGCTCCAGAATTAGCACTTCTCCAATTGCTGGGCGTGTAGTTCTCAATGGCTTCGCGGGGAGATTTTTTTTTTTCGTTATCGCCATGCTGGGAAAGTTCCGATAAGAAGCGGAATTACTAATACTCCGGCTAACTTTGCTCCTAATCGATATGGCGGGCGCGTTCTCAACACGGCGCATTGAACTGCTGGCTTGTCAACTCTCCTTCACTTTCTCGACTGCACTTGAATCCGAGTCTTTTCCCCCTCACAAGAACCTTTTGCATATTTCTTATCCTTGCTTCTTCAACATTCTAACCGAAAAAAAGCTATTCGAATCCAACGTCATTGTTCTTTGTGCGCCGGAGTCCGGCCAGCTTTTTCGTTAGGATGGATGCCTTGCATTATGATCCGATGGCTATGGATGGGGAGCCGGAGCAGCCCCAGGTCAAGATTTCAGCGGTATGACAGAGTCTCATGGGAGTTTGGTAGATGAGTGTTGGCCTGACTGTTTGTTTTGCTGTACTTCAGGCCGATAGCACACGCGTAGACTTCGAGCTCTCAAGAACGAATCTGCCGTTCGCCAACGCCCTGCGACGAATCATCCAGGCAGAAGTGCCGACAATCGCCATCGACTTGGTTGAAATCGAGGTCAACAGCTCGGTCTTGGCCGACGAGTTCATCGCACATCGACTTGGCCTCATTCCTCTCGACTCCAAGGGCGTCAACGAGCTCAATTATTCCCGTGACTGCGACTGCGAACAGTACTGCGAGCAATGCAGCGTCAGCCTTACGCTGCACGCAAAGTGCACAAGCGACGAAATCATGAAGGTCTACGCTAGGGATCTTGTTGCTGATGGACGTCATGCGAACTCGGTTGGAACTCCCATCATTACCGATCCGGAAGGTCTGGGATGCTTGATTGCCAAGTTGCGGAAAGACCAGGAGCTCAAGATTACGTGCATTGCGAAGAAGGGCATTGCCAAGGAGCACGCAAAGTGGATGCCAACGTCGGCTGTTGGCTTCGAGTACGACCCTCACAACAAGCTTCATCATCTCGACATGTGGTTTGAAAACAATACCGACCCGGAGAAGGAATGGTAAGCATACGCTGTTATCCAAGGCTGTGATGAGGGTGGCAGTCTAACATGTGCTCTAGGCCTAAGAGCAAATATGCTCAATGGGAGGAACCCCTCCAAGAGGGTGAGCCCTTCGACTATGACGCAGTGCCGAATCGATTCTACTTCGAAGTTGAGGCGTCAGGAACCATGGAACCAGATTTGATTATCCAAGGAGGCATTCGAGTTTTGCAGCAAAAGATTGGAGGGTTATTAAAGGGACTCGACCCCAGGAAATACGGCGGCGACGATGCCGACATGGACGGCCCCCGAAGCCCCGATATGAACATGGACGGCGGCACTACGCCGTGGCAAGATGGTGGATACACAACTCCTTACGGAAACAACACGGCGTATGGAGGTGGAAACACTGCCTACGGAGGAGGCACTTCATACGGTGGCAGCGCAACCGCCTATGGAAACGGCACGGCGTATGGTGGCAGCTCGACGTCGTATGGTGGCTCTGCGGCAGGGTCGAGCAGCGCGGGTTACGGATCAGGACCTTATAGCCAAGGCAGCTCTTGGCAGTAAACGGATGGGGGCGTTTGATGGGATGACTGGGAACCTCTTTTTTTTTTGTTTTTTTCCTTATCTCGCATAAGCAAGGGATGATTTCACGCTTCTGGATTGTACAATATTTGGGGCCAACAGCGTAATAGTTAGAGAGGTGAGTCGGATTCTATTTCTGAAAACCGAGAACAAAAAAAGGAATGTAAGCAAAAGCAACGCAAAGCAGACACTCTGAAATAATATCCATGGATACCCTCTTGCCAATCGGTTGTTCATTCTACCAATCTATCTATGTATGGATATGTCCCAAAGAGTACCTTGGGGGCGCCAAAACCCCTGATGATGATGTTTGTGTTTTTTTTTTGGCCGTCAAAAGAAATACAAAATGAGAATCGAAGAAGAGATGAGAAACGAAACATGGAAATGCCGAGGTGATGTGCACTGAAACAACCGCCGAGAAATCTATCAAAACGCCGCCCACACTTTTATACAAACCTGTCACCCATCACTCACTCATTGAGGTTTTTTTTTTCTTTTGTTTTTCGCCTTGTTTTTCCCATATCCAAAGCATTTTCGCCTGCCAATGTCTATGTTGCCTTTTCATCCAGGCCTTTTACCTTTCTATATGCCTTGCGGTGCATCTCTAGGAAGATGAATGTACAAATGGTGTGTCTGTCGACGTCAGCAGATGGGAACACTCAGGGGGTAGGTCTTTTGTCAACTTACGGGCCAAGTCTCAGGAAGCTGGGCACCCAGCCCTTGAACATCCAGCGAATACCCTCGGCTCTGTTGATGTCTCTTACAAGATGCAGGATGCCTTGCTTGTGTGACGTGGACATGACACGGGTCTTGATGACATCGATTGGGCTCGTTGCCGTGGCGGCAGCCAGGCCGGCCAGGAAGGACGCGGTGAAGTGCGTGGTGAGGGTGTCGCCCATGGGGGTGTAGTCCAGCAGCAGGCGCTTGAAGGTGTCGTACGTCGCCAGTTGGCCGGCCGTCATGACGGCGGCGCGACAGCTGTTGGGCAGCCAGCCGCGGAACCAGCTCAGGGCGCCCTCCTCCCTGGCTATGCGGACCATGCCGTCGAGGGCATGCTTGTAGTTGCGGCGCTCGGCTGGCGGCAGGGCGGCGTCGTGCTGCATGCGCACGTTGATCACGTCGGCAAAGTTGCCGGCAACACCGCCGACGAAACCCGAGCCGACGGCCATGGCTATCAGCGCGGGGAACGACGGCTCCTTGCCGCCATGGGAGCGGATATAGCGCTGCTTGACCTCCTCGTAGATGCCGAACCGGGCGGTCGAGTACGTGAGCTGGCGGAGCAGCGACGCCGAGATGCCGCTGTAGAGGCCCAGCGGGCCATCGTTCTTGACGACGTGGACAAAGGTCCCGCTCATGGACTTGGGGCCATCGGCTTTGCGGGTTTGCAGGCGAACCTGTTGATCGCGAGGGTTAGACAGGGGAAAACGTTGTTCACAGAGCTTTTTTTTGCAGTATCCGGGACGTGCAACATCGCGACGGGGGGGTTGCGCCGAACATCGGCGGACGCAATTGGGAGACTTTTTTTTTTTTTTTCCTGGTATCACATCTCAAAACGCCCGTACCTTGACTATTGTATTATAATTGGGTCAGCATGTGAGTTGAAGGGCGCAGCAACGACAACCCGAAAAAAAAGGAGAACAGAGGCAAACATACTCAAGTCCAATGGATGCGTAACGCAGGCGGCCAAGCTGCTTGCGCTTCCTCCAAACCAGAAGGGATACCGCATCGCCGGCGCCCTCAGCTTCTTCTTCTTGTCGGCGTGCAGCTGCGGCTCAGCCGCCTGCGCTGCGGATGCTGAGGTCATCGTTGCCGGTTGCGCAACAGCGTCGAGTCGAAAGGTTGCAGACAGAGGCGACAAGGAGCTACGGAAGGGACATTCCGCTGAGGAAGCATTCAAGATATATCTTTTTTTTTTTTATTCCCGTCCTTTTCTGCTCGGGGGGGTTTGGGTCTTGTTTCCACACCCCTTGGTTCCCCGTTCTTTTTTTTCCTCTGCTTTTTCTCCTTTCCCACGATATCCGAAAACTGGGCCGGGAGTCAGGAAGGAGGGGGTGGAATCTGACGGGCGCGAAAAAAGGAAACAAAAAAAAGCGAGGAGCGAAGCCGGGCTCAGCAACAGCGACTGCGGCTGGTTGAATTGATTGGAAAACGATCGTTTCGGCCGGCGAGGATTGTCTGCTTCTGCTGGGCACTTAAACGGGAGCAACTTTATCAGCCCCGTAGATTTTTCTTATCCAGATCGGCTAATTTGCAGCCGTCCGTTGACGTCGGCGTGGCAGAAAACGCAGCCGCCCGGGGCCGAAAGGCGGTGAGGGCGCCCAGCTGGGTGGTTTGCATGTCATTCCATCCAGGTGGCTTGGAAATGCATGTGCTAGCCCAGTAGCATTATCCATATACAGTACTAGTAATTCGTGGCACTGCTCCCTGCAGGCGTGAGTGGTGTTGATATCATGGCCTGATGCAGTATTACGTATGTGAGGCGGCTGTCAAATAGGCAAGTCGGTGAATGAACTCGCAGAGCCTGGCGGGGGAGAGCAAACTGTCCACGGCTCTCGGGCCCCGTTCTCTTGCATCTGATTTTTTTTCCATGCGTGTGTTCGTGCCCGTCTCGTCTTGCCCCGTCGCTGTCATTCGTTGCATGTGTTGCTCCGCTATTTTGGCATTATGCTTGTTTTGTGAATTGGACCTATCTTGGATGCTTGAATGAGCGGTAGAAGAGAAGAGAGCGTGCGGGATAAACCAAAAGTTGAAGACAAAATATGGCTTCAGTCGATTCAGGATTCCTCTCGCTCTCGCATCCGTCACAACAGACGACCCGTGAAATGCTGCAAAAGGAGCGAGATGACGCCATTATCCGGATTGCGGGCGATCACCGACGAGACTACGGCCGGTCGGTCGTCCATGTCTCTCCCAGCGACCATTCCAAGGTGCTGTCGTCCATCTTGACGTCGTCCATTGTCTCTGAGGCGGGCTTGGGAGCCTTTGACCGACTGCCGGTAGAGTTGCTCTTACAGGCTCTGCGCCATATGGACATGCAGGCGCTCTTCGACCTCCGTCGGGTCAACCTCAGGGCGCGGCAAGTCGTCGATTCGCTGAAAGAGTACAAGGCTGTGGTATCCTACGGACTGACGGCATACTGTGCGCTGCTGCGGATGAAGCTCGCTGCTCACGTCAGCCTGCTGGATTTCTACCGAGTGCTGTGCTCCCAGGACTGTGCCTTTTGCGGCAAGTTTGGGGGTTTTGTCTTTCTGCCTACATGGATCCGGTGCTGCTTCGAGTGTATCGAAGAGGATCCGGAGACGAGGATGGTGACGGTTGCCGAAGTACGGAGGCTGTTTCGGCTCTCACGCGCGGAAGTCGGTCGGCAGCGGTCGTTCCAGGCACTGCCGGGAATTTACACTACCGGATTGGACTCGATGGAGAAGTCCTACCAGAGAGGTCGTGTTAAACTGGTGCCTTATTTCCCAGCCATGAAGGAGTTTGGAGACAGGCTGGAGACAAAGGCAGCACGCCCGCATCATCAGCCTTTTTGGGACCCAGTCCACAACTTCATGGCATCGTGCGAACTCCCATACTATGATCCGCAGACCCAGACAGTCGAGTACGGAATATCATGTGCCGGCTGTGAGAGGAGTGCCACTGGGCAGGCTCCTGGGCAGGCTCCTGGACAGGCTCCCTCGAGGGCGGCAGACGCTCCGTGGGACAGGGTGTTTTCACGAGACAACTTTTTGAAGCATTTCAAAGTTTGTGCGCAGGCGCAGAAGCTGTGGGAGGCCAGCCCAGAGGCTGCTTTTGAGGCCATCATCAAGCGAGATGTTTCCCCGTACTGAGCTATACTAGCCGAGATACTCGCTCGGCTGTCATTGGACTGTTACACTTGGGAGTTCGAGATGTTTGAGGTTTGTGGTATCTGAAGGCTGAGTCTAGGTTAAGCGACTCTTGTTAAGAGGCCATGAGTATGAGTTATGATCTTTTTATGTTTTATGATTGGCATTGGATTGCATTGATTCAGAGTAAGGTACGGACTGCATAGCATTTGGTTTTTGATTTATGTATAGGCTATCATATTTGAAATTGGACTGGCAGAAATGAATGGACTCTACAAGATGCTGGGAGATTTACATGTCCTAATGCAACAGTAAAAAAAAAAAGAAGGAAGACATGATATACATGATTCTTCAGAGGAAGATAAAAAATGAATCTGACGAGAGTGGGACTCGAACCCACGCGGATTGCTCCACCAGGAATTGCTGTTAAGGTAGCCTTAACCTGACGCCATAACCAACTCGGCCATCTCGCCAATCCTATTGATGTTGAGGCGACGGAGTAGAATGTGGATATGAAGCCCTAGCTCCAGGGTAACAAACCCGGATCTCGTAGTGGTGGGACGGTTTTTGCTCCCCACTTGGATTGAGCGAATGATATGCGTTTAAGCGGGCATTGGTGGGATGGCATGAGCTCAGACGTCCAAACTTGAAGACTGATGAGAGTGAGCTTTTCACGGCTGAACCAGTGCTGGACACATTCGGGTGTTTTTGGCCGTCTCTAGATGAGGCATTGAAGGCGTCTTGTGCTTGTTTCTCAACATGTCATTGGCCGGAATAGGAAGCTTGCGGTGTCTCCGCGCCCCGTCACTCAGAGCTCGGCAGCTCTCTTTGAGCTCAAGAGCATTGCGACAGGGATTCGCCTATCGTTTTTACTCTGAAGGTTAGACACTCTCCGCACATTTGCCTGCTGTAAGACGGGACGGGGAATGAAGAATTACAACACGGCCTGCACAGTTTCGGTTCTCATGAGGCCTTGAATCTAACATGTTCAGCTACCACGACGGAGCCTCAAGAGTCAACATCAACAGTGACTATCCGCGGAGCCACCCATCCCACACAGAAGCCTTGGTTCAACGTGCCGCGAAACATTGTCTCCAAAACATCAAGGCGTCTTCATCTCCAGAATGACCACCCAATCGCCATCACGCGGCAGATCATCCAGGCCAACTTCCCGCAGCCGACGTACAAGTACTACAACGAGTACAGTCCCGTGGTGACGACGAAGCAGAACTTTGACTCGCTGGGCTTCCCGGCGGATCACCCTGGACGGGCTCTCACAGACACGTACTATCTCAACGAGAAGCTGCTGCTGAGAACTCACACCAGCGCGCACCAGGCGGATACTTTTAGGGCGAATGAGAGTGACGGCTATCTCATCTCGGCGGACGTGTATCGGCGAGACGCCATTGACCGAAGCCACTACCCAATCTTCCACCAGATGGAGGGCGCAAGATCATGGGATCGAAACAAGGTTCCCAACGGCGACATTGTGGCGGCCGTCATGGAGGATATCGAACGTCTGCCCAAGCACGATGTCGTGGTGGAGGATCCAAATCCACCCATGCATCCTGAGCGAAATCCGCTGCAGGAGGCTCATCACTCGGCGGCGGAGGCTGAGGCTCTGGGCAAGCATCTCAAGAGGTCACTTGAAAACATGGTGGTAGATATCTTCACCAGAGCAAAGGCGGCGGCGATCAAGGACGACCCGGATTTTGTGGATGAGCCCCTGAGGATGCGGTGGGTGGAGGCATACTTTCCATTTACTAGCCCGTCGTGGGAGTTGGAGGTGTACTACGCGGGCGACTGGCTCGAGGTGCTGGGCTGTGGTGTGGTCAAGCAGGAGCTCTACATCAATGCCAACGTGCCATCACAGGTGGGCTGGGCCTTTGGCATTGGCATTGACCGCATCGCTATGCTACTGTTCAAGATTCCAGACATCCGGCTCTTTTGGTCCGAGGACGAGAGATTCCTGTCACAGTTTACGGGCGTATCAGCCAGTCTAGACACGCTAAAGCGCTTCGTACCCTTCTCCAAGCACCCGCCCAGCCCCAGAGACGTGTCATTCTGGATCCGCTCGACGTCGTCTGCGGCCGGTGGGAACGACAAGGCCGTCTTTCACGAAAACGACGTGATGGAGCTGGTCCGCAGCATCGGTGGCGATGAAGTCGAGAGCGTGAGCCTCATTGACGAGTTTGTCCACCCCAAGACGGGGCGCAAGAGCTTGGCGTATCGCATAGTCTACCGACATCTGGAGCGCACGCTGACGGGCAAGGAGACGAATGCCCTTCACGAGAGGGTGAGGAATGCCCTTGTGGAGAGGCTCGGTGTTGAACTACGGTGAGCGGATGACGACCGAAGACGGCAATAGCCTTGAAGGAGCATATAGATTCCATTGATCATTGACCATGGGGCTGGGGCTGAGCGAGGCTTGGCTGGCGCTATTACGTGTGAAAGAGGGGGGAGAAGAGGCGAGGAGACTCTGCCCCATGAAGCTCCAAGGGATGCAGCGTTTAGCAGTGAGGCTGGGGAGTGTTGCTAGATGAGTGGGAACCCGGCCGGGCTGATCTGGGCGAGCTTGATCGAGATCTCGGAACGGCGTTGGTTGGCAGGCCGTAGAGGTGGCCATGTATATGCTCGAAACGTGGACACGCCCAACTCAGCCAACCCTGTATACTATCACATTTACACTACATGTAACTTTTGCCCCTATTCAAACAAACATAGCCCGAGTTCCAATTTGCAATTGAACAATCATAGCTGAATAAAATGGCATCGACCTCCTTACTGTACAGTTGCCTCGTAGTCAACCTGGCAGGGCACACATCATCATTGGTTTGCTGCGCCTCGCCGCTTTGACAGCAGCACGGGAAAAGAGCTGAGCTTTGGCAAACGCTCCAGTTTCGACGGATCAAGTCTAGATCTGGGACAAAAAGCGACAAGGGCAGGGGCAAGGAAAAAAGGAAAGCGGCACGTTCGGCACGATGGGAGCCGGGCGTTTGATGTTGAATGCGAAAAAGAACAAAATGGGCGTTGGGGATTTTATTAAGCGAAATGAGATGTTGTAAAAGCTGGGCGAAGCTGTGCGATGCGGAATGTCGTTTGGAGGCTCAGCCACAGGGAGCTGTTGTGACGAGTGTGGCTGAATGAGGTGAATGAGTGCCTGGCAACCTGGACAATAGAACAGGAGAGACGGGTTAGTCAGCGAATGACGTCGTGAGGCATCCGATTGGACTGGAGGTGGCTTTTTAAGGTTGCAGCGTGGCTGATGCTTTGATATCCATCATATCCAGCCTTGAGTTTGTCATGCAAAAAGCTTAATGCAGAGGTTATGTACAAAGTATGTATGCCTGCTACGATGCGGCAGGGTGCTTCAAGTCTACGAGGCGAAGAGTAAGCAGCTTCCATGGCATTGCATCTTGTAACCGTAAAGCTGGCCTTGTTCGGGGATTATTGCGCCGAGGCTGGATGCTGGATGCATGCTAGCACGACACGATGCAGCACAACGCTTGTGCTTGAGGCGTAGCAATTTGATACCATGATGCAGGCACGCGGGCATCAGACAGCTAGCTGGAAGCGGCATCTTGCGGCCACCAACGACACAGCCCGGAACCACTCGAGGCAAACCGCGATCGGGACACATGGCCCGGGTCGTACATACCATGTACCTACATACGTAAGTTTTCGGTGGCGGGCGATCATGCGCAACAGGGAAAATCAAGAAAATCGGCTCCGTGACAAGACGAAAGGACTCCACCAGGGTATGGGCTGGTTGCTGCACCGCCGTCTCAAAGGCGATGAGGGGGGAGGGAAAAGAGTGGACTCGGAATGTTGCGCTTGCAGGACTTTGTGTTTTGGCTTGGTTTACTTTGTATTTCCACTCCGGAGGGTGATTTGATGCAAAAGCTCGCTTCGGAAGGCCAGGAAGCGGGATAGGTGATGTGAAGTCGCTAGCATGTAAGCCAAGGAGAATAGCCGCCCGAGAAGACGGGGGTGGTTTTGACGGGGCGAGATTTCGGCCGGATTGGATGCGATTGCGGGAATTGTACTTGTACTTTCCGCATTGTACTGTATCCATGCGGACTACTGGGTGTTATTGAGACTACTATAGATAAGGTAGGTAGGTGTAAAGGACACATGACGGCTTGATGCGATGTCGAGATGGGCTGCTCAAGGGACGTCGGATTCGCATGCAAGGGCCACTTGACACGGAATAAACAAACCGAGCGATTCCCGCGATTCAATCCCGAGGTATTCGAAAGGCCAAGAATAAGAAAGAAAAAGAGGCGTTCAGCCACAGAGGAGGAAAAAGGTTATGCTTAGTAGGCTGTCACTGATTGATTGTATGGATTTCAAAACTTGATGGCTGAGAAATGTCGGTCATGGCGGGTGTACCTGGACTTGCGTGGAAGCCTCTGAGCTCAGTGGGCGGGAGTACCGCGAAAGTCGTCGCACAGCCTCAATGTCCACCATGGCCTTGGTCGAGGCGGGGGATTGAATGCTTTCTGTCTGCGCGGCAGGGTACTTGGATGTTTTTGAAACATACTCTCAAGATACTTAGGCTTTTTAAGATGATACATAAACCTTGAATGTACTATTTGAGTACTGGATCCAGGTACCTCCTATTGTCTGCATGTACTGTGCCGGAGTGTTCTGCGCCGTGTTGCCGCTAGACTGCCCAAATGGGGAACTTGAACGAGTTCAATGTTTCAACGTTTTCGCAGCCATCGGCCAGGTACCTTACCTTTTCAGCGTACCAGGTACTTCTTATTGCCAGGTATGTGTTCCCCAACCAACGCGCATCACGCCTTGTCATCCACCTACATACAGTCGTAATCAATGCGCCTCAGAGGAAGCTGGTGGCGATTCAGAAATTTACCTTGCAGGGGACTTCGAACAAGAAAACGAGAAAAAAAAAAAAAAACTAAACTCAGGCTTCGCACGAATTCGCCCGCCCGCATGGACGGGTTGACTGCTCGCATTACTCATTACTCGAGGCCATGCTGCACTGCCCCAGTATACATCGCAGGTACCTCCATCGCCCAGAATTCCCCGTAGCGGTACTTGCGCCGCTGTAATCAGTGCACGGGGTACCGCCAACGCTAAGCATTGGGCCACGCCAATCGCGGCTCCACCGCTTCCATCTTGCCCTTTTGCGCAGCCAATCCTGAGCCACCAGAGTCCCGTGGCCTCCATTAACCTTTGGCACCTTTCCGCCTTCTTTTTTGGGTTTGATTGTTATAAGATTGCCTCCTCTCTCCTCTCTTTTCTCCTCTCCTCAAGACCAAGACCAGAACACCAACAGCCTGCTCTGCCACCTCGACTGCCGAGTATAACTGCGACTGCACCCTCGGACGACTGCAAATACTGCTACAGCAGCTCTACAACCAGCGAACTTGCACCGGACACGTCACACGACACCCGGAGCTCAGCTTGATATCACAGGCATTGCTATATCGCACACCCACAGTTTATGACTCGGCCTAATCGCTGCTCTTAACTCGAGATTATACTTACCACAACTCATTCCACAATGGATACACCTAATCTCTCAAGGTCTTCCTCGACCTCATCTCGCAACAAGGCGAACCTCAGCCTGGACCTTTCCAACCTCCCGCCACTGGTTCAGCCCACTCCTCCCTCAAACACGCTCATCTTCACCAACCTAAACAACACCGACATCTTCCTGCCCGAGAACCTACAAACAATTCGCGACCTTATTGAGCACACAGCGTCCATACACTCGTTTGCGCCGCTCAAGTCCTTCCGCCGCATCATCGTCTCCTTCTTCGACATAGATGCCTCATTAGCGGTGCGCCAGGTCTGGGATGGCGAAGCTGTCATGGGTGAGCGCATCAAGCTCTACTTTGGCCACTCCACGCCCATTGAGACCAAGCCAGAGCATCTGGAGCTGCCCGACGCCGGCAAGCTATTCTTCATCTCACCACCCGCCAGCCCTCCCCACGGCTGGGAGATGCGCCTCGAGGATGCGCCGAACAAGCAGGTGCACGCTGATGACCTTGCTGAGGCCTTGGCCAAGCTGCACCACCGCCCTATCCCCACCTACGACTCGCCCATTACCCCAACCGACGGCGGTGTGCCCAACTTTGGCACTCGGAGTCGCAGCTCGACTCTCATCTACAAGCCAGACGCCGAGACAAGCCCAGGCATTCCTGCCGTGTTTGTTGAGGACATGACAGATGAGCCTATTGCTCTGAGCCCGCTCGACGCCTCAAAACCCATCCTGGCTCACACTGCTCGACCTCCTGTTGAACTGATGAACGACCTCTAAATGAGCTTTTGGACATGTGGATATGAGGGTCGGTGTGCACCGGAATTTTTATCATTTCTTCTTATTTTTATTGTTCCTGTACGCTTTTTTTTTTCTGGGAAGAAGGTTCTTGGTTGGCGTTGGCAAAGACGTGACAACACGGCTACTACTTTTGGTTTCCGGAGATTGTCAAGATTCTTCGTGTGGACCTCGTTACTAATACGGACATGGAGTTGAGGTTGCTTTCTTTTTTTATTGTTACATGGAGTTATCTGAAAAGCAGAAAGATTCCTATCTAAGAATACCTAGATGTATACCAACCGATAGATGGATGGGCGTAGCATCAACAGCGACATTACGTGGCTGGATAGAATTGTCTAGTTCAATTAACTTGATCAAGCACATATTATTTGCCTTGTTGTTATCAGTGACTGTTGGTTTTGCACTCTCTGAGTTGCATTGATAATTTAAATCCAGCTGTGATTTGCGATTGCAGACTGCGGCTGGCCCCACATCAATGCCCCCACTAAAGATACCTAAATTGATTTTGGTCTTGCAGCCTTGCCATTGGCATATTTTTCTTCCAGCAGACAAGAGCATCGATTTTGCCTTGCTCTCACACGTGCTCCGCGACAATGAGCTGCTCGTGCCGTGCCGTCTCATGGCGGACGTTTGCGCGTGGCCTCGCCCAGATCCACCGACCGGACGCCTCTTCAGCGGTGCAGTTTCCATGGCCGGCCCGTCCTCTGGTGGTCTTGGGGCAGAATCGTGGATTGCACGCTTCGGGACTTCGGAGGCAAGATGGAGCGGCGACTGCGGTGGAAACAAAGAAGGATGAAGAGAGGGGATCTCAGGGTACGACTGTTGAGGATGCGCAAGCAAACACGGTGAAAGCACTGGACGAGATTGCGTCAAGTATAGACGCGGAAGCGGATTCAAAGCCGGTCGAGAGAAAACGAGTGAGGAGGGATGGAGATGGGAAGAGAAGACTTGCTGCTGCGGATGGCGAGGATACCCCCCGGAAATCGACAGCGAGAGCAAAAATGGAACGAAAGGCTAGGCCAAGCTCTGCCGAAACCCATCCGACAGATTCAACCGGACAGTCATCGAAGCCAAGGCCAAAGGCCCAAGAGCCGTGGCAACTCCAGAAGGCAGCGCTCAAAGAGAAATTCCCAGAGGGCTGGCAGCCACGCAAAAGGCTTTCGCCAGACGCGCTGGCTGGGATCCGAGCTCTCAATGCGCAGTTCCCCGATGTCTATACCACAGATGCGTTGGCGGACAAGTTCCAGGTGTCCGCCGAAGCGATTCGACGAATCCTCAAGAGCAAGTGGAGGCCGTCGGTAGACGAGGAGGAAGAGCGGCAGCAGCGCTGGTTTAAGAGGGGCAAGCAAGTGTGGGAGCAGAAGGCGGCGCTGGGGATCAAGCCGCCGCAGAGGTGGCGGATGGAGGGCATCGCGCGAGATCCGGGCTATCACGAATGGAGCAAGAAGGTATCGCAGCGGGAGAAGGAGTGGGAGGAGGAGGAGATACGCAAGTATAGGGCGTATCGGGAGAAGATGAAGAAGAAGACGGAGGGGAAGACGAGGTGGTGAGGAGGTATCATGATTGTTTGTGTACGATTGTACGGGGAATTGGCATTTATGGGGTTATACATTTGTTGGTTGGGATAGACTCTGCTCTGGGATATATCATGGGTTATGGCATCATCACGACACAAGCTTTGCATATGGACATTTTGTACAACTCTAGACTGGACGAACACCTTGGCACTAACTTACTTATGATCGCTACTCCATAATGAAGAAAAGATCTGAAAGAGGCCGTTTCATCCCTCCACCGCAAAGTGAAACAAACACGGCACCCCAAAATCTCCTCTCCCGCACGCAAAAGCTCAGACAAAGCCAAAGCGTTTCATCTCATGTCCGCTACCAGATCTGTCTCCCCGCCTCGAGAAAAAGAGCGTTGACAAAGAATGCGCCTGACCAATAAAATTCTAGGGGCAAGGCTGAAGCGTCGCGAAACTGACTAGCCGGAGTCCAGGGGGAGCGCTAAAACGGTTTCATGAGATGGGATGATTTCTTATAAAAGAGCTTTGATTCCTCTGTTTGATGGGTTTAGAGCAGGCTCCTTTTGCATATTAATGATTTTTTTTTTTTGGGTTGACGGCTTCTTCTTTTTTATCTTGTTTACTGAGAAAGATTTGAGACAATTTGTTTTTGTCTGCCTCCATCTTTTGGGTGTTGAATTGGGGCAGTTGGTTTTTTTTTCATGTGATACCCTCCACTACGGCCACTTTAGTTCAATCACCATATTTCATCCCTTTCTTTATATCGCTCTCTCCTGACATCGAAACTTCACCACAACCACACAAACAAAACACAGTCATCATGCCTCCAGCAAGCTACTCGCGCCCGCCACAGCACGACTCGTGGTTCGCGCCGCTGTCCGTCGACCTGATTCTCAAGGTCCTCAACATCACCATCTTCCACCCCTTCATCTGCTGGCTGATCCCGCTGTGCCTGCGCGCCCAGACGACCAAATGGGAGGCGCCACCCATGGTTGGCGCCATTGCCTGGGCCATCTTCATCTCGCTCATGTGGATCGCGGGCGCCATCAACCAGCGCATTGCGCACGGCATGCCGCGCGAAGTGGACTTGGGCGAGGAGGTGATTGTGGTGACGGGCGGCGCGAGCGGGCTGGGCATGCTGATTGCCGAGGTGTACGGCATGAGGGGCGCGAGCGTGGCGGTTTTGGACGTCAATGAGATGGAGAATGGCGAGGCGAGGGGCGTGACGTTTTACAAGTGCGATGTGAGCGACAAGGAGCAGGTCGCCAAGGTTGCCGTTGAGATTGAGAAGGATGTGAGTGTTTGATGACGACCTGGACGATTGAATTGCACTGACTGACTCCAAACAGCTCGGCACGCCTACTGTGCTCATCAACAACGCCGCCATTGTGGTGGGTAAGCCGCTGCTGAGCCTCTCCATCGACGAGATTGAGACCAGCATCGGCACCAACCTCCTGGGCCCCTTTTACTGCCTCAAGACGTTCCTCCCAGCCATCATCCGCGGTGGCCGCGGCGGCACCATCGTCAACGTGTCGTCCGTCATCGGCCACCTGGGTGCCGCACAGCTGACCGACTACGCCGCAGCAAAGGCCGGCCTCACGGCGCTGCACAAGTCGCTGACCGCGGAGCTGCGTGAGTCGCACCCGGACATCCGCACGGTGCTCGTCACGCCGGGCCAGCTCAGCACGCCGCTGTTTTACGGCGTGCAGACGCCAAACAGCTTCTTTGCGCCTGTTGTCGAGCCGGTGGATGTTACCAAGGAGATTGTGGCGGCGATTGATGGCGGCAAGGGGGTTACTGCTGCGATGCCGTTTTACGCGCGGTGGGTGGATTGGTATAATGTGTTGCCGGTGGGAGTGCAGCTCATTGCCAGGAAGCTTGCTGGCGTGGATAGGGGGATGAAGACGTTTATTGGGAGGAAGGGATCTGAGGGGGAGTCGAAGAAGATGAGGTAGAAGAAGGAGTGAGGAAGACAAGAGAGAGGGCGCTGGCGTCTTCTTGTGTATAGAGATGGAAGAAAAAAGGAGGGAGAGGAAGCTTTGATGATGACTTGATGCATATTAGAGCTACAATAATGAAGCCTCATAGGGGTTCTAGCATGTTAGACTAGACTACATGGCATTTTACAAATACACTATTCTGCTCCTCAACTCGGAGTTACCTAGAGCGGTGGTAAAAGCAGTGGTTTGTTTCTTGGATGTGTTTATATATAAACTCCACGGTATGGCCTCAAAGTGCGGAATGCATTTAGTGTTGTAGCTTAAACAGAAGCTTAGGTACCTTGCAAAGCGTCTGACGTGATGACGTATAAGAAGAGGCCTTGCACCAACAGGCGAAATGAAATCGCGAGCATCATACGATATATTACCGCCTATCCTCTCTGGTAGAGATAGGTCCAGTATTTACCTAATACGGCGTATCTCTGAGCTTTGCTACAAGTAGAATACATCGCGACACTCGGCAATTCTTTTTTTTCGTATTGCTGGAAATGAACAAATGGCCACTGCAGGCTTCGGGAAGACCCGAGCCACATGGATGCCATATGAGGGCGTCATATCCGCCCCTTGCAGCAAGCCACGTGAAGGCGATCGATGTCATGCGGTGCCTTGTACTCCATAAGCTTTGTGGTATTCTGCGCGCAAAAATCAATGCGACCGTGACATATTCCACTTGGGGGAACCAAAGCCAAGCCAAGCTTACCAAGTGCCTACCAATGCAAAAACCCGTGTTCTTAAAATGAGGCACTCGCTAGCACAGCGTTAGCGCCGCCCGCTTCATGCCAGGGGCGAAGAAATGCTGTAGATTTTTTGTTTAGTTCTTTGTAGAGGGTTATCGCTTTTGCCCCCGGACGATGGCGGCTAGGCGGATGAAAGGCGATGGGGGGGCAGCGATTGGAGGAGAGAGACACGGACCTTTGCGGGAATGCTATCGTAAACGAGTAGGCTACTGTACGACCTACTAGCTGGTGGTTCTGTTTTGGGCCTGGTTGGTTGTTTTGTCGAGGAGAAGGGGACTGGCTTTATACGAGGCGGCGCTTGGCGTCATCTTGGGGGTTGATGCTATTGGCTGTGGCGGATTTTGGGCGATTGAGAGAGATAGAGAGAGGGAAAGTGTAGCATGTCATGGTGCATGAGGGGGCGTTTTTTTGACGTGGTGGTGGTGGACTTTTGTGATTCTCGATGATACCGACGAATTGACTGACAATTGAGGTTGATTGATTCCATCTCACAGCTTTTGAGCAGCATACAATACGAGCACAGAATACTTGTACAGCAGCGGGACACGAGAATTCTATTGAGCATCCAATTGCTACTAGCCTCGTGACCCCCCCATGGGCCCTGTCCGTGCCTGTGCCTGGATACTCCTCGTAATACTACTAGCTGCTAGCATCCTCTGTAAGAAATACTCGTAAATGCTAGCAGTAGCAGCAAATTGATCCGAAAAAGGGCCCTTCCCTCCACACTCTGCCATGGGCTAGCCGCATTTTGGCAGTTAGCAGCGATGGAGACAGAGAACGAAGCCCGATCCGCGACAACCTTGTTTCGCTCTGCTGGTTAGAAATATGGGGTGCTGCACGATGCCATAACACTCTCATCATCGCTCATTTTTCGACGGGATCTGCGTCTCTCTCCTCTCTCTCTCCTCTCCTCTCCAGCCGCTCTTTCTCGCATCGCGGAGTCGTAGCTGTGTGTGTGTGCTTTTTGCTTCTTAATTGTTTTGCCTCGCTCCTTAACTGGCTGCCACCTGCTTGAGCGTCTGACCGCACTCGCTTCTTTTTTCTCTCGCTCGCTCTCTCTCTCTCTGGCTCTCTGGGTCACGTTGCTCTCACTTGTCTCCCCTTTTTTCCTCCTGGGGATTCTGTGACCGGACACTCGCCTTTTTTTTTGGTTCAACAAATCGCTGTGCTCTGCATCTTCTCCTTTTTTTGGGTTTCCCTCGACGGCTTTTATTTGCTTTATTTGCCTTGGCCGCTTTGGCTTGGACCGTTTTTTTGGCTCGAGTTTTGAAACAGTGATTCGACTTAATCGCTCCCTCAACCCAAATTTAATCATACACGATGCGTTGGTCTTCTGTTGCCATTGCGCTTGCGAGCGCCAAATCCTTCGCCGTGGCCTTGGATCCCGTTTCCACCTCTGGAAACAAGTTCTTCAACAAGGACGGCTCGCAGTTCTTCATCAAGGGTATGGCATCTGAGGAGGAGTTCGAAATGGGACATGATTGTATTGACAGCCGTTTCTCTAGGCGTTGCGTATCAGCTCAGGCCCCTGGATCCCCTCATTGACACTGATCAGTGCAAACGCGATGCCAAACTCATGGCCGAGCTCGGAGCAAACACCATTCGCGTGTACCACGTTGACCCCTCTGGTGACCATGACGGCTGCATGAAGGCCTTTGACGATGCCGGCATTTACGTCCTTGCTGATCTGGATACCTTTGATACTTACATTATTCCCGTGCGTCAACGTCCTTTTACTTCTTTGGGCTCTATCATCTAACCATTTCTTGTAGGAAAATAACTATTGGAATAAGACAAAGTTCGATAGATATGCCGAGGTCATGGATGCTTTCCAGCAGTACGACAACATTCTGGGCTTCTTCGTTGGAAACGAGAACATTGCTACTAAAGATGATTCTCCCACGGCCCCTTACCTCAAGGCTGCTGCTCGTGACATGAAGGCGTACCGCGATGCTCAGGGCTACCGAGAGATCCCCATCGGCTACTCGGCCGCTGATATCCTGCAGCTTCGCCCTATGCTCCAAGACTACCTCACCTGCGGTGGTAACTCGTCCGAGACTGTCGACTTCTTCTCTCTCAACTCATACTCGTGGTGCGACCCTAGCACCTACACCGAGTCCACCTACGACCAGCTCGAGGCGTATGCCAAGAACTTCCCCGTCCCCATCTTCCTTTCCGAGACTGGATGCATCGTCCCTGGCCCTCGCGCATGGGATGACCAGGACGCCATCTTTGGTCCCCAGATGGTCAATGACTGGAGCGGTGCCATCATCTACGAGTGGATCCAGGAGGAAAACAGCTACGGAATCATCACCTACGCCCCTGCCGGTCAACCTGCTGGTCCCGATGTTGAGGGCGGATTCCTGCGCAAGGGAACTCCCACTCCCAAGGAGCCCGACTTCAGCGCTCTCAAGTCCAAGTGGGCGACCAACACCCCTGAGGGCGTCCACAAGTCCAACTACAACCCGAGCCGTGTGTCTACCCGCGCCTGCCCCACGTCTACTGCTGGCGGCTGGTGGCAAGTTAATGGCGATGTCCAGCTGCCTACCTTGGGCCAGATCCTTGCTGTCAACACTAAGACCAGGTCAGCAAATGTGGCTACGGAGACGGAGACAGTTGGCCCTACTGCAACCGACGGCTCTGTTGAGACCACCGCCGACAGCACTGCGTCTATCACGGCTCCCCCTTCGTCCGTTACTCCCGGTTCTTCTTCTTCCACCACCTCTGGCCCTGCAAGTGCATCAACAACATCCGGTGGAAGCATGGACAAGCGCATCACTGCATTTGGCGCTGGTGTCGTTGGTGCTGTTCTCGCCATTGCAATCCTCCTGTAAGATCAACTGATGTTACTTTTTGGATTTGTATTGTCAGACCAATATCAGATACCCGCCTACTTAATATCTTGCTTTCTTCTTCTCTTTTAATATTATCATGCGGCTTTAGCATTGAGACTGCGTCTTGGCCTTTGTCACCCAGCTGGTTTTGGCTTCATGACTGGTTATGCTGATGTCGTCTTGTTTATTACAACATAACTGGTCTACCCAGAGAAAAAAAAAATTCACGGGAAATGGAGGCAGGCATTTTGACTGCGCCTTTTAGCCTTGCTTCCTCTAATGCTCTTTGTATGATGGCTGAATGTTTTGAGAGAGGATGTTTGTACATGACATATGCCGCGTAACGAGGCATGACAATGTTTATATTTAATGCACGAAGATATGTTGTACATCTGCTGTTGATATCCTTGTTTTAGTCTTGTGTGATGCTCTTTAGTGTTGTATTTGCAAGACTTGTCACCAGGTGCCACGCTATCCCGGCAAAGTCTATAACCAGTAACCGTTCTATTTGACGTGACGCCTTTAAGGAGCCGCAGCTTGCCTCTTTCTGCCAACCTCTCATTCTTTAGAATCATGTAACCCTGCCACTCTTGTTGTACGGTGAATTATTTGTCGTAGTATTCGCATTAGTTGCATTTGTCGTCGGTGGAGGCTCAACTACTGTCGTGGGACCATCGTCGGGAGGCGCGAGCTGGTAGTTCTTGATTGCTCGATCGCCGATGAAGACGAGGCTGACGATGAAGACGATGAAGACGGCGAGGACGGAGGCGCAGAGGAGGCCCATGACGAGGTAGCGGATGCGGTAGTCGTAGCGGTGAGGGTTTTGGCCCCAGGGGGTGCGGGTGTGAGTTTGGCATTGGAGTTTGTCGATCATGGTTTGTTAGGATTTGTTTAGTGGTTGATTTTTTATAGGATGATGAGGGGAGGTGATTTGGGGTATTGTTGGGGGATTTAATTTAGGTGTTTTTATTGTTTCTACATGCGGTGTTTATCTAGGTATCTAGATGGCAACTGTGGTTGTGAGATTGATTGGCAAGAGGGACGTCGTGTTGTTTGTTGATGAATAGAAAGAACAATGAAACATTCATTTCACGGGGAGTTGAAACCGATCGAAGAAGCAGAATACAACAATAGAAAAAGGGATATAAATAAATTCTAGTTTCTTGCTTTCATGAATACTGTTTGATCTAGTGCTATTCAAATAAAGAAAACATACATCAGGAGTATTGTCATATCTTGAGTCAAGGCATTCCGTACTTATATCGACTGAAACGGCCATCACAGCCAAAGGAGAGAGTGACATTCAAATGTCTTATGTAATGCACCTGGTGCCTTTTCACGTCGCTGCCACCACCTTCTCCAGCCACGAGTCAAAAGCCATAGGCACAAGAAAAAAAAAAAGTAGAGAGGCATATTACCCACCAAAGCCTTATCGTAGCGACAAAAATCGGTCCAATGAGTGCCTTGCTATCCCGCCTCTGGTGAAAAAAAGAGAGCTGCCGTTGAACGCTGCTGACTGGCTGGAAGCAAGGATAAGGATTTTTTTTCTTTATCGGTGCACGACAGCCTTGCTCTCCGCCGCTTCTGCAACACTTTTGGCCATTTTCGATTTCTCGACTGCCAATTAATTTCGCGCCGCCCAATTCTGTGCCCATTGTGTATCTCTGACCAGCTGCTTTTCGGGGCAAGAAATAAGGGCATCGGCGATCGAACTGACTCAGCAAATTTTCTGCCGCCCGCCCGCCATCGTCCCGCATCTGCGCTCATCGGGATTGCGAAACACCTCCCCCAGATCCGATAACGACTTTCGATTCCGCTCGCAAATCCCCGTTTCCCTTGCCTCGACTTGCTCCTGGTCGACCTGGCCCCTTTGCTTCCGGCCGCGAGACTTGCAGATGCTCCCCTGACGAGCCTGTTTCGAGGCAATTGGCAACATGGCTGAGCCGACGCAGGTTCAGACAGCGCCTACTGGCTCCCCCAGAGGTGAGATGATGCTGCTGCGCTGCTGCTTGGCGCTGCTTTTTCCCTCCCCCTTCATCTTCTTTCGCCAATTCTGGTAGCAGCAAAGAGAGACGTGGCTGACCAAATGCTTCCTCCTCTTTCTGGTGTTCACAGAGATCAAGCAGGAGCATGAACATGAGCCGACGGGCCTCGAGGCCCTCGACTTTAGCATTCTCGCCGAGCTCGCGTCGAAGCGCCCATTCGAGCATGTAGCCCAAGATCATCACGATGAGCGTGAGCAAGAGGCCAAGAGGCCCAAAACAGAGAACCCTACCACAGAAGAAGAGACGTCTCTCGAAGATGGACTGGCGCTGCTGGTGCAGAATGCGCTGTCCAATGTCGGCGACCTGGTTAGCAAGTTCAATATCGAGACCGGCGATGCGCATGGCAGCGATCCCATGGACGTCGATGACGCGCATGGCGCCGATGCTCGCCCGGCTCCCGTGTCCTTCTTGTCGGAGCCGGAGAAGTACGTGCGCATTGCCAACACGCATGCGCTAGGGAACCTTGTATGTCAATGAGATGTGATGCAGGTTATGCGCTCACCAGAGGGTTAACTCGGTTACAGGCGCTTTCATTACTACTGATATTACTCCAGCAGCCCATTGATGACATGTCGAAGCTGGCCGGAGACGCAGACTCGGGATATGGGCGCTCATACGGACGACTAAAACGATCATTCGATGCGACGTGGCAGCTCTTCTCAGATAATCAGGTGCTGTCTGCCGATGAGCTAGAGATACAAGAGGCGGAAGCCCGCACCCTGTTGGAGTTGGCCAACATTGCGAAATTTGGGACGTGGCTGGTCGAAGGTGGCCTGGACTCTTTTACCGCCGCCGATGGGCATTTCGCAGCCGTTTTCCGATGTCAGCTGTCGGACCTGTCTGCTGGGCTCTCCCAGCTTTACCTCGGCATCAAAACCCACAAGACAATCGAGTCGCTTCTAATACGAAACGGAGATGGGCCATCAATAGAAGAGGTGGTGCAAACGATCATGTTGGAAGGGCTGAATGAGCCGACAGATGCGACTAGCGAGCCGATATCAGCCTCTCAACAAGAACTGTTGGCTGCGGTCAAATCTCGAAGGGACGTTCTTGTTGATGAGGTGAAGATAAAGGAGCCAGGTGAGAAATGCCCGTTTTGCTCTCTCTTTTGTCCCAACGCTACGCGCGTCCTGCTCCCGAAGGGGATCTAACAAGTTTTGATAGCCGCTCTAAGAGAGAAATTTCCTACCGGTGATGTTTTGAAGAGTTTTTCAGCACATGTTAGGACAACACTCGCTTCCATGACGGAGATTGGAGAGAAATTGGGCGTCTCGGCGCTATTGAGCGACGTTGCTAATCAAGAGTCAATACCGAGTCACTCAGGTGATGGAGAATTAGACCTCGACGACCTTTCTTCATTCTTTGAGAAAACAACCTCGGGCCTGGTGCAGAATGCTTTGGCTGGCTTGACGGAAGAAACACCAACAGAGGAACCGGCCGTGGTTGAAATCACCGAGGCACCAGTAGAGACTGTCAATGGCGAGCCAAAGGCAGAAGCAACGGCCCCAGTAGCAGCTCAAACTAACGGGGCCAAGCTGGATCTCATCTCAGACTACAAGGAACTGGAGGCACTGGTTGCGGAAAGCACGTCGAATTATGTCAAAACGACGCTGCACGGCCTTTCTGCCGTTCCCTACCAACCTACAGTCCCCCAGAGCACAGGTAAGATGTCCCTGACTTGTGAAGTTGTTTTCATCTTTTGAACCAAGCTCACATCCAAATAGCCGAGACCATGGCTGCGCAGTCACCCTATCTGAGCCATCTTCATCAACACCAATCCCATCACCCATACTACACCTCATACACGACCCAGCCAGCTCCAGAGCAGCAGCCTCCTCAACCTACGGGATCCTCCGACAACCTCCCACCAAACCAGACATTCCCCAGTGCCATTCTTTACGACAAAGCTCGCCAAGCAGCGCTGTCCAAATCATCGGCACATACGCGGAGAGAAGGACTACACTCCACCCGACGGCCTTGGACTCAGGAGGAGGAAAAGGCGCTTATGGCTGGCCTCGACATGGTCAAGGGCCCCCACTGGAGCCAGATTCTGACCCTATTTGGTCAGAACGGAACCATTTCCGACATTCTGAAGGACAGGACACAAGTGCAGCTCAAGGACAAGGCAAGAAACCTGAAGCTATTCTTCTTAAAGACCAACTCAGAAATGCCATATTACCTGCAAGCTGTTACAGGAGAACTCAAGACTCGAGCTCCTACCCAAGCTGCCAGGAAGGAAGCCGAGGAGAGAGCGCGAATGAACTCTGAGGAAGAACAAGCCAAGCTGCAGGGAATCATGGCATTGGCTGGAGGATTACAGCACCCGCCACAACAACAGCAGCAGCAGCAGCAGCAGCAGCAGCGACAACAGCTCCATCATCAAGCCAGACCACCGGTTACAGTGGCTGCAGCAGTAGGCCAGAGTGTGGTAACACCAGCTCAGGCAGCCAGCGCAGCGCAGTCGGCATCTTCGGTGCAGCAGCAGCAACAGCATGCGTCACATCTTCACCACACGCCGACAGCATCAATGGCGAGCACACAACAGGCCAACGTGACACCCATTTCGCGCGGCGGCATGATTCTGCCCAACACAGCACAGATCAAACCCGAAAGCCAGATGGCAGCAGTGCAGCAAGCCTCACAGCCAGTCCCGCTGGCACCTCAACGACCACAGACTCAGCTCCCTCCCCAGGTTCCCAGACCTCAGTCCCAGCCGCAGCCGCAATTGCAGATGCAGCAACACTCGCCGCTCCAACAGCAACAACAGCAACACCCTCAGCCCCAGACCCAAGTCCAGACGCATGCTCAAGCTCTGGCGCAGGTCCAGGCACATACACAGATGCCTGCACCGGCTCAGGCTCAGGCGCAAGTACACCATCAACAGGTCCAACCCTCGCAACAGCCACTACAGCAACAATACCACCAACAACCGCAGCAATCACCCCATATCCAACCGTCACACTCGCCAGCTCTCGGACAACATCATCAAACCCCAAGCCAGCCTGGGACGCCGATCGTCTCCACACAGCTCCAAAACGGAACGGCAACTCATTCTTCACCTACCCCAACAATCCCCTCCACACCCACACCATCTCACCTCTCACAACACATACCGACACCCATTCAGGCTTCGCCCGCTCCAGCTTACTCGCCTCAGCCTCAGCAGCCATCTATCCCTGCGCAAACAGAACTGCATAAGCTCGTGTCTGCGCCGGAGGCGACGATGTCTCAGGCGGTAGTACAAGACGACGAGGCGGCAGCAGAGGCCGCCTTGTTGGAAGGCTTGCAAGCTGCTGTTGCACAAGCGCTAGCTTCATAGCCCATTTCTATGGGGAAACGTGTTTGTTTGAATGATTCAAGCATACGCTAGTCTAAAGGCTGGCTTTCAACACTTTTTATTTTCTCTTTTCAGCCACGGCGCACCTAAGGAGGGTTTATAGGCGTCTCGTACAATGGCTGGCTAGTTTTGCTCTTTATTTCTTCTTTTTCCCTTCTTATATAGATTGCTCGCGAGCAAGAGTATGAGAACCCAGGGGATGGCAAAGATGCCTCCAAGAAAGAAAGTTTGTGCCTTCTGACATATCCAATGTCCTTTGAGCGAGGCAAACGGTGTATATACTGGTTTCTTGTTTTTCCCTTTTCTTTTGGGTTGTATAAGCGTGATCGAGGTGGAGCAGCAAAACAACAATGGAATGCCTTTTTTTTTTATCTTGCGGCAGAAGAAGACGAGGGGAGGATTATGATACCATAGGTGGAAACAGTTACGACTGGCTACGACTTTTTTGGGGCGTGAGTCGGACTGGGATAGGAAGACTGCGAAAAGAGAGAAATTATGGAATATTTGTCTTTGGCGTGTGTGAATGTGATTTGGATGACTGAGATTGGTGATTTTAGATGAACATACCACCTTGCTGTTATTTCCCATGCCCTTCTATGCCCGGCTATACTTATTCAGTCCATTAATACATATCAGCAAAGCCCATGAGAGTCAATGTTGCTTTTCAAAGATCAATCTTGAAGCTATTCACGGCCCTGGTATGTACTCGATAGTTCGAAAAGGAGGGTAACACTCTAGAAGGGAGACTAATGCACGACCCCCATCTGGTAGTGGCGACTCTTTGGCCTGACTGGAATAAAGATGTCTTGATCCTCATAGCAATGCCACAATCATGCTCACCACCTAATGCGCCATGGACAAAGTCTGGTTCAAGCTTCGGCAGACACACTACCCTCCCGGCCCAGAGAAGGCTATCCTTGCCGGCAATGGAGACGACTCGCACGCGCCCCTCTGCTTGGGCCATTGCATCGCAGACCTGAAGCACATAGACTTCCCCATCAACTCCGGCGCGGTGGTGGCGTTCCCGATGCGCATGAACGTTTTTCAGTCGCATGTCATTGACTTCAAGTGGGAGCGCACCAGCGGCTTCGCGACGTCTTTGGCGCTTGTTGCGAGTGCGCCTGTGGCCGCGGCGCTGGGGTTGGGGACGGTCAAGGCGAGTGTTGGTCTTGCGTTTAAGAGGTCTGTTAGCAAGCATGAGGAGTATGAACGCCTTGATACGTATATTGTTCAGCCTAGTCGGCGCTATGTCGAGCAGTGCCTTGAGACGGATGAGCTGAAGAGGTATATTGGTAACAAGGCGGATTGGTCATTCTTCTTGATTACAGGGATCAGAGTTGCTCGAGCGGGGAAGCGGTCTGGCGAGAGTACGAAGAATGTAGTGGCCAGAGGGGGGCCAGAGTTGTGAGTTGTAAATGACCCCTAAACATTATACTCAGTCTAACTCTTGGTCTACGATAACATAGGGACATGCAACCTCTAGCTATTAGTCAAGCTTATGCTGAGAGCGGCACCCTCGACAGGACAGAGAAGATTGAAGAGGGCAAGGTTTCCGATTTTGTTTGGGCGATTCGCCTTGCTAAGATACATAAGGGATTTCTTATGACGGACTGGTCTATGGGTCCTTATACACGCCGTGCTACCTTTGGCCAGGAGGGCGAGCAGCAGGTTGATGTTGGCGCTGTTGTTGAAGGAGAGGGATTGAGCTCTTTTCAAGTTGTTGAAGATGATGATCTTGGTGAAGCTATTGTGATGGACGCGGAGCAATGGGGTAACGACTAAAGGGGGCTTTGACAGCATTCTGTTGCTACATAACTACAGGTATATGCCCTTGAAGACTTTACAGGGAAGCAGTGTTGAAAAGAGGATGTCCATATCACTATGCTATAGCTCTTGATCTGGTAATAAAGTTGTATTTAGCTATCAGTGGCTCAGTTGGCTTGATCCATCGCCCTCGACAGACTTTGCCTAATATACTCTCTCTTCTTCTGTCGATCCATCTCATGGTAATCTGACGGAAGCAGCTTGAGGGGCATGATGCACTTGAACTCGCCGGCCCGCTCGGACAAGAAGTTGAATATGGCAACCATTCCAAGCATCTTGCTGACGTCGGCAACTCTCACAATGGACCGGCAGTTATCCTGATGCCGCGAGAAGTCAATAATGAGTGCTGCAAGCCCTGCAGCCGCTGCCGTGGCAGTACTGGTGCCGCGTACCCGCTGGTCTGAATAACCGGGGTGCTGGAAGTCCTCGCCGAGGATGGCAAAGTTGTGCGCGTCTGGCCGCCGCTCTGGGTTGAACTCGGAGGCCCGGTTGTGTGTGTCAGTGGAGAAGATGCAGATGGTGTAGAGATTGTGCCGCGCTGGGAAGGCCACAGGGCCAAGGTTGCCCCAGTTGGAGGCTGCGGCGAGGATGAGTTTGTTGGCGCCGCTGGCCTTTTGGACGGCATCTTGTAGCCTGGGCGAGTGGTATAGGAATCCGGCAGATATGCTAATGATATCGACATTGATGTCGGGTGAGATTGACCATTCGATGGCCTCAAGGGATTTTCGTGTTAGCTGATATCAATATCTCACCATCTATATATAGAATTGGACTGGTTAAGCATACCTGAGCCATCAGTTCTGGCCCTGTCTCGTCGTCCGTGTCATCAGACTCGAATATCCTGGCGACATACAACTCGCAGTTCTCGTGTATTGACAAGATGATACTCGCCGAAATCGTGCCATGCCAAGTATTATCGCGTATGCTGGTAGAATTTGGTTCCACAAAATCCTTAAATGCTTTGACTTTTTTGTAGCCTCTGACGGCTGGATTGAAGCCCGTGTCAATGACGCAGACCTTGACTGGGTTGTACTCCCCTTTGGTAGAAGATGATGCGTCCATGGCGGTCTTTAGCTCGTCAATCTTGTCTAACCATTCTTCTGAAGAAACTCTCCTCTCTCTAGTGAGTGTTAGTATAATCGCCCGGTTAATTCATCTTGCAAGGATATTTTCTTCGCTCACCTGAGAACCTGCGGTCCACTCATGCTTGGCGGTTGAGGTGGCTTGCGATTCTTGCCTCGTGAAATCAATTTCTTCCAATTGGTCTGCTCAACGACTGGGCCATTGGGACCGCCAGTATCATAAGTCAAGAAACTAATAAGATCCAGGGACCCAGTGAGCCCTCGCTGAGCAATCTTCAAGATTGAAGAGTCAACTTGAAAACGGTCAGCAGCATACTATGCCTGAACGGCCTTTAAAACTCAGGTCCTTGCATCAGAGTAAATGTAGTAATGCTTACAGTCTAGGCAAACAGAATCGGATCGACTGTTTCTTTTCACCACCATGCGCATTTTCTCCTGTGGAGATGCGCCAAACTTTGAACAGATGACTGATATACTGATGTCTTGATCTCTGGGGGATTCATGACTCGATCTCCGAAGCAGCGTCGCGGATTCTCTGCCACGACTTGTGTTAGCATCTTTACGGATCCAAAGTCTACTGTAAAGGCCTCTGGTATCGTTGATGCTTACTGATGGTATATTTCGCTTTCGAATGCAAACGAGCTTTGAGCATAGAGCTGACGCAGCCGCTCCCTTATAGCTTCAACGTAGAATTTCCAATTGACCGCATCTAGATGAAGATTAATGATCACCAATCAGATATACAGAGTCGTCAGTACGCTTCGGAGCACAAACCTTGTTTTCTATCAAAACCAAAGTTTATTTCAGAAACCTCGAGAGTGACACCGCCTTGACGCATGCCGACCTTGGACAGCGTTACCCATGAGGATCTTTCTCGCGTTGCTCCGTCAATGACGACGGAGTCTCTTAGGACTGCGGCCACGGTCATCAATGGTCAACGCTGGCATAAAAATTCACCTAAACTTTAGCAACTTACCAAATATAGAGAAATCTTCATTGTTGGCTTCTCTGCTATCCTTGGAAATCTGTATTTCAAACTCGGGACTTGGAAGAAACTCTAGAGACTTCAAGTCGCTCATGTTGTGTGGCCTGAAAGCGGATGAGTAGTGTCTTAGCTGTACCCTTCGTGGTTGCCAAGCAAGCTTGATGATGGAATTTGATAGCTTGAATTCCAACTGGGATGGTAACCTGTTTACAAAGGCCTCAGGAGGGCTTGGGAGGTGTCAGTAGTTATGATAAAAGAGTATCGCTGATTTGGAAGTGAGAAAACATACGAGACCGACATCAATCTGTAGACGAGTTCATCTGTAAATACTACCTCTTTATTCCTTGGCTCTGCAGCCAAGTTCTTTGAGAACTGATGAGCAAGGTCTTGGGCAAGTTTGTCAATTTCGCCAGTACCTGATTTTGTCAATATATTCTCACTTCTTCAAGATACAGCTATTGTAAACTTACGCATTACTGGGACCCCAGAAACGATTATTGAAACAATGGCATTGGAGCGCGGTTTATAAAGCACCATGTGCCATTCCCGTTCTTGCCCGGGACGTATCTGTTCGACAAGGAAAGTCGCGGGTAATGCTGTTTCCAATTAGCATTCAGGGTTCTATATTGCAGATTGTAAACGCGAACTGAGGTAGTCTTCCAAGTCCCACCTTGGTATTCGAGCTCACTGTCGTGTGATGCCTCAGTTGCAGGACAATCGCAACCAAACTTGAGTTTCATAATCGATGTGCTGGGGCTCCTCTCATGGAGGAAACAATTTGGACAGATGATGTCGTGCGTGGATGAGCTGTTATCCCAGTTTCCGTTGACGGCAAGTATTGCCTCACGCAGCCTGAATGTGCCTTTACGGGAAGCTGTCAAAGTTGTCGGCATTATTTCGTCGACGGCAGCCATCAAAGTCGCTGAAATAGTATCAAGGCCCTGCTTTATAGTTTTGACCATGGTCTCGTCTTTGAGTTCATCATTTCTTCAAACTGCGGTTAGCCCTCGATCAGAGACTCTATACTTCGGTACTTACTCTATACTCAGATTCAGATTCAGAGCCAAGGACAGAGCGTTTCGGACATCAGCCAGGTTACTGATTTGTTCGGTGATACTGGCCTGATAGCTCGATGGAGAGTCTGTGGTCGCACAGAGCTGGTCCAGAATACGCCTGCACTCTTGGAAAATTGCTTGAACCCAGTGGCGGTCTTCGAGAGGCTGGATTGTACGCAGTAGCCTTCCTATAGCTTCCAGATGAGTGTGGACGTCTTTCATCTCCTCACGTAATGGCCCCTCGAGGTGCGCCAGGCTCGCCAATAACATCTCATCGCAAGTCCCTGCTAGTATACTTCCCCTCATCATGTCTCCATCTGCCCAGCTGCCCATGATGTTTATTTCCATAGTAGACTGAATTCGTCAATCCCAACTAGAGACCCCAGCTCTTTCGAGGAGATGTGAGTCACTTGCTCGAGGCTAATAGATTGGACGCTGGCTAATAGCGACGGATCTATTCAGGGGACATGGAGATGGAGGGACGGGCCGCGCACCAAAAGGCGGACCAACGCCTTGCAAGGAACCTGAATTGAGCCTCGACCAGGATTCCGATCGCCTTATTTTCTGGTGTGGGAATCGCCCCCTCACTCACAGCCTCACCATCTTCCAGCTTATAAACACATGTACATGCACATGTACTTAGGTACAGGTATTTAAGGCTGCATCCTTCTCGATTCAGCTGGCGTTTTCTTTTCCTGTCGCATCTCCTCATTCGCCGCCATTTGCAATCGCCTCGTGCTTATTTTCATTTTCCGTTTTACCCAAGTCACTCCCTTTCTATTAGTTGCTATTATACCAAAGACAGAATGAGTCGCCACCTCAGGACTCCGCGATTGAATTCCGGAGTCCTTTTCTCACCCCCGGCTCCCATCGATGCACCGGTGGATGTCTGGTGCCCCGAGCCCAGGCCGATGGGTATGATGGACCAATTCAGATCGAATTTACAGGGAATACCGAGTGGTCCCCGGCCAGTGGATGCAAAGAACCCACAGGAGGGCGTCGGTGGATTTGCTGGTTTCCCTCGTTTCTTCGAGGCATCAAGCATTAAAACATTCGCAAAGAGATTTCCAGGAAGTGGTGAGCCGGAGTCGGGACCCATTACGTTGTGTCTTCCAAGCCTCAGCATTTCAGCAGACGTCTTGATTGATGGGACGATTTCATTGACGACACTTACACAGAGCTACCATAACCCGTCAGAGCTGGTGATCCCTGAAGCCCGACACACGTTTCCCCTGTACGACGGCGCCGTCGTCACGTCTTTTGAATGCAGAGTCGGCGATGCGCGACGTCTACAAGGTGTTGTGAAGCCAACGGCGCAGGCAAAGCGCGAGTTTGAAAAGTCCAAAGCCAAGAGAGAGGCTGCGGCGCTGCTGGAAGAACTCGCTCCAGAGCTTTTCGAAACATCCCTGGGAAATATTCCGCCCAATACAAAGGTCGAGATCATATTGACCTACGTGCATGAGCTCAAGGTGGTGACAAGTCAAGAAGAGAAGGCCGAGGGCCTTGCTCTCACCATCCCAACCTCCATTGCACCTCAATATACTACGCCTTTGCCTGAACTTCCGAGGGATAAGCTGGAGATTACTATTAGGGTTCTGGATGATGGCACCATCGATGCCGCCGCATGCCACGTCGAATCGAATCATGCTGTCAAGTATGAAGGCTCACAGCCTCTTATTGCGAATATCGGTGAACTTGGCAACATTAATTTGCCAGCTGGCGGTGCGCAGAAGATGCAGCATGTGTGGCAGTATTCGTCCAATGCACAGCTTGTTCTCGGAAGTGACTTTGTTTTGGTTATTCAGATGCGTCAAGAAACTCGCCTTCACTCTCGCGCAGTCATTGCGCCAGCTAATGAATATGGCCATGCCGCCCTCATGGTCAGCCTTCGTCCGAATGACATCTTTGGCAGTGCAGTCAATCCGCAGCTGTTCAAAGGCGAGATTCTCTTTATTCTTGATCAGTCTGGGTCCATGGGCTGGACACAGTCGGCAAGAGACCAGAGACTTAAGATTGATACGATGAAGAATGCCATGTCTCTAGCACTGTCCGGACTACCTTCGACATGCAGATTCAACATCATCTCATTTGGTAGTGAGGTTCGAGGCATGTGGCTTCGTTCACGCGGAGCTGATGAGCCTGCAAACTTGTCGTACGCAATGGAGTATTTGGATACTGTCGGAGCAAACATGGGGGGAACCGAGATACTTCTGGCGCTCAAGGGAGCCGTGAATAATTGCGAGCCTAGCCTGCCATCAACGCAGATTATTCTCATCACGGACGGCGAAGTCCATCATGAGCCTCATGATGCCATAATGGAGTTTGTCTGGGAAACTCGTCAGAAATTTGGCGAAAAGATCCGCTTCTTCACCCTCGGCATCGGCGACAGGGTCTCTCACAGAGTCGTTGAGGGCATTGCAGAGTTAGGCGGCGGATACTGTGACGTTGTCGACGTGGTCAAGAAGCCCCGATGGGAGGACCGCGTGAATCGCATGCTTCGGTCCGTCATGGAACCAGACAGCTGGAGCTGCGAGATCGATCTCGGCCCGGGTTTCGAAAGACGGAGCCTGGCTGCTTGTCAGTTCGGGGCCGATAATCGACCCGACTCTCACTTGGCACTCTATGTCCAAGGCCCACATCCGATACCCTCTCTATCCCCGTACAGATACAAGTCCTTCTTCTTCCTTCTAGACATGGGAAGTGCTGAGTTGCCCACGACATTAACAATCAGGACAACGACAGATGCAGCCAAGAAAAAGGTCTACGATATGCATGTGAAGCCGGCTCAACTGAGAGCAGGCACCATCCATCCTCTGGCCGTCAAGATGGCCTTGCAGAGTCTTGAAAATGAAGTCAAAGGCATAGATGCCAATAAGGAGCAAGCACGTATCAATGCTGAGATCCTGGGAACCAGATACTCGATTTCCAGCAAGTGGACGAGCTTCGTTGCCGTGGCGGATGAAAGCAGAGATCTGGCCCACCCGATTGAAGTCTACAAGAGTGTCTTTAAGGAGGCAAACATGCAAACATTCTTTGGCTCAGAGAGAGGAGAAAGTATTTGGAATCGCATCCCGGGGTTCCATTCTATGGGAGATCGACCCGGGAAGGTAAATACTTCCCAATCGCTCGACATAATGATGAATAGCTCTACCCATTGTCGCTATCCCCCATTATCAATGCCATCATATTCTTTTCAAAGGGTTCAAGATCCTCATTTTCTTCGTCTCGTTCCTGCTTTTCAACTCAACAATGAAGAAAGTTCTGAGGAGAATGGAGATTTATCTGCTGCGTCTTCCAACAAGAATATCGCTATGCTTAACAACAATCAGTTAAATGGTTCCTCTAATGGTGGCGTGGTTCAAACTTTCGCGCAGGCGCAGCTTGAATCCCCAAACCAAAGTTGGATTGATGTTGATAACATATTAGAAGCCAACAAGAGATCGGATAAAGGTGGCAAGTTTCTGTTCGGGTCAGCACCTAACAGCCCAGCCTGCCTATTACCGATGCCAACCGATGGAGAAAATTCTCTATATGATTCAAACTCTCTACAGCCTGATTCTTTTCCCCTTTACCCCGACAACAGTTCATCTTCAATGCATTCTGATGTTGTGCAGCAAGTTAATGGGGCACAACAAACTTGCGATCCCACGCCTCGAGCAATTCAACCACGGCTTTACTACGATTTACAAGCTTCTCAGGATGATTTTGTGATTGAGAAAGCCAGACCCAGAAGAAGCGGAGCCCAATATATAGACTCAGATTCAGAAGTCAATGAAAGGACGAATGATACCCGAGGTTCACAGCTTCGTTATAAAGGCCCGCGGGGGAATAAACGAAGGCGTGATATTAACTCAGCGTCCATGAGTTCGTCTGATTTTGAATCTGTACCACCCATGAAGAAGGGAAGACCCTCCCGCAGCAACAGACCACCACTTGAAAGGACGCTTAATAGGTGGCGTTCATGTCATTCCTATAGCAACAACGGAGGAAGTACTGAGAATGATGAGTATCCATCCATGTATGCCGCGGCTTCTATCGACGAAGCTTCAAAGAGCGAAAGGAACTGTTTTCGTCGTTCCATGCCTCGTGGCAAAAGCGATATTCCCAAATGCGTTATTCCCGAGACCGCGGAAAACGTTCACACTGATGAGGTAACCGCCGCAGAAACGCTAGCTGTTACAGATCCCAATATACGCGTTCCCGAGTCTTGTGGACCTTGGGCCTTCGAGGAAACCATGCTGTCTCAACCTTTGTCTCCTATTTTTGCCGCCACCAACAATGCCCCCGAAGAATCCAGTCCTTTTCTCAATTTGGGCCCCGCTGACTTTAACACATGGGCAGACGTGCCTTGGCAAGATAAAGAAGCCACTTCCTACGAACCGTCGAGAGATGGGCCCATTACGTGGGAAGACGTCGTAGGATGCGAGAAAAGCGGCATGTTTGTCCTGCCCAACGTGGTGCGGGAGCGGCTCGGCCAGCACTTCTGCGGCAAGACAGTCGAGCGACTGCAAGAGACTCTGCGCAATCTCTCAGATGCAGCGAAAGTTGCGAAACAAGATGTCGCCGTTTTGACCGATACACTCATGATGATACAGTATTGCAAGACGCATCTGGCAACCCAGGAGGACTATTGGAGTCTTGTCATTGGCAAAGCCGAGCGTGCAGTGCTTCTGGCTTTGGGATATGACCAAGACCGGGAGGAGGCACTGGAGCCCTGGTACGAGAAGCTATTGTCTGCCATCTTTCACATGCATTTTCAGGAGTCCCTTAGGCATGCCTCCATAAATAAAGGAGAAGGAGATACAGCAGAAAGCCTGGGCTCTTTGAGTCTCAAGACATGCTTGGTGTGTGATACGTCCATTGAGACAGATTGTGAGGGGCGGCTTGCTACTAGCAAGGGATTCATGTGTCTCGCTGATGAGTGCTACGACAGTAAAACACATGCCCGAAGCCAATACAGTGACTGGACTGCGTTTTGGGAACATCAAGTTAAGAGTGGCCATATGTTATGCCCTGGGATTAATGACAGGCCGGGCTGTTTATATTAAATGATATAAAGGAATATTGTAGTTACGAATTTATGATGAAGAGAATATAGAGATGTTATGACAGGATTTCTTATAGTTGTAATAAAGTTGTTTGCCTTTAAAAGTACAGACCAAAGAGTCACCTATCTACCTGTAGCTTGAAGCACTTTAAGAAGCCGTCAGGTGATTATTGCAACTAACCAGCTAAGTCATACGATTCCGTGTTTAGTAATTATAATGAGGTAGCCTCTAGTGATGTAATTTATCTTAAATAGAGCGGCGAGTATATGCAAGTTACTCCAAGTTAGGTACGGAGGGAAGCTAAAATTACATCATTGCTCTAGATCCTTTGTTCCTGTTGTTGGCTGAGGGAGCCAGCTATAGTCCGGCAGCATATCAACAATAGTCTACACGGTCATGTACAAGGAGAGGCGAATGCTGCCTCTGTGATAATAGGAGCGAGGCCATGAATAAGCCCAGGTCTTCGGCCTGTCCGAGGTGGAAGACAAAAGAAGAGATAGGAATCAGACAAAAACGACACGTTACAGGAATTCCGAACTCGAGTTCTCAAGGCTTCAGAAATACATGGAGGCCTAGAACCGAATACGGGCTTCAGTGCGAGTTCTGGCATAGGGCTCTCAGGCAACCACCCGAGTCTGATTGGTTAGTTGCCGCCGCTCTCGGCGGACGCGGTGAGTCTATCGGCAAGCTGAATTTGGGGGTGACACCATCTTTACACAGGCGTGTGAGTGAGGCCTGAGTGCGGAGGGCAGAGAATGTTGCCTAGACTGAAGGGCGGACTGACTCAGGAAAGACGGACGGAGTGTGGCAACAGTGGGAGGGTCGCCTAATAAAGCGTGGAAGCCTTATTTACGTAGGTGTAAGAGTCATGGAGGGTTATGGACCGGAAAGTGAGGACTGGAGGGGGGGATGGATGGCTGCCTCTTGACCTGAGGTGTGAGTGAATGTTGGGGTGAGCTAATGAGGGCTAGTGAGGAGGGAGGTTTAGGTGAGGGGGGGAAGGTTGCATGTTTGTGTAAGTTGGTTTCGAGTAGGTGTGAAGTAGATGGAATAGGAGCGAGTTGAGGAGTTGAGGCTGTTTTCATTTGATTCCCTTGGTTGACGATAGCTATTGTATTGTATTGTATTGAGGAAGTAGTCTAACCACAAGATACCCAGTCGTGTAAGTGATCGGACAAGCCGCAAGCGGTATTGAGATTCTTTCTCCAGCAAAGACCAGGGTTCCCTGTATCCATCTGCGTGTAAGTCGGTCCAACAGCGATCAACAGTCTAATCTAGACCGATGCAAGTGCACATCATCTTTTCCCCCCTCCCCGGTCCAAGGTAAAGCGGCTGGATGAGCACCGCCTCAGAGCGGGAGCCGGCACGAAACATGGATTGTCGAGGGTTGGAAGAGTTATCGAGTGGAGGATGTGTGGCGCAGGCCCTGGAGAAGAGAGAAGAGATGGGCGCCATGCCAAACTGGGCGCTGCTGGGATGCCTCCTCAGCAGCAGATGCGGCTCAAAATTCAATGACAGAAGACGCACGGCTACATGTACTCTAATTTAGCACTGCTCTGCAGCCATTCGCCGGGTACCGCTACTGGACTTGGCTGTCGCACGCGCAATGGTCAGTCAGACGCGCGTGTATGCAGATGCAGGTCAGACAGGCACCTGCAAGTGCACCAACTGCAAAAACACAGTGCGCGGGCTCCAGCAGTGGAGTGGCAGTGGAGTGGCAGCCGAGTGGCAGAGGACCACGGCGCCCCTGTAGCAGCGGCAGCTCGCCTGTGGATCCAGCTGGAAGCGGGCATCGACACAGTGCGATGTGCGCGCGGGCTGCAAGTCAACTGACACCATCAGGACGGGCCGCGTCCGCCTGAGCCACAGCCCTTGTGGCCCTCCCACACCACCACATGCCCTTTGATGGCATCATCTCCTTTGCCTTAGCCCTCGATTGTCCAGGAACCAGAGCCGGCGAGCCAATGCTGGGCCGCGGAGGGTATCGATACCGCAATCGCCGTTCCGAGAGCTGCAGCGTCCCTGCAGTGGTCGCTCGCGCTTATGTCGCCGCTGCAGATGCGGCCAACCGAAGCCGGTTTTTTGTTCCCCCATTTTTGAGGTTGACGCCGTCGCGAATACAACTCCTGTCCTTGCTCTGAAGAGCGATTCAACTGGTCATCTCGCAACGCAATACTATACTCTATACCAGCACCAAGTCAACCGCTTGTCCTCTTCTTCTTGACCGAACCCATGGCAGAGTGCCCAGGCTTCCCTCGTCCGTCCCCCAAAAGGCGGATCTCGGGTGACCCGTCAGGCGACTCCGCCTCGTGGACTGGACTACTGTGTGCTCTCTCAAGCCCCCAAGGACTTTGAATAGTTGATTCTCAAAGGCTTGTGTCCTTGGGAGACTAAAACTCTGGCCCTGGTCGCCCGCTTCCTTCACGTACGCAAGCCACCTCACTAATACCAGCCACATCCGAGATGGTGGTCATGGTTGATTGCAAACACAATCAAAGTTGCAGGCCGTGTGTGTGTATCTTTTCGACCCGTGCCATGTTCTTTTTTTTCCTATCCATCTCTTTTTGAGCTGCCGTTCCGTGTGCTTCAAAGAAAAGTCCTATTTCGGGAGGATGCTTATCCATATCCACACTCAAACAAAGCCAGTCCTGCCCTTTATTGTGGCTGGGGCTCATCATTCACCACTTATACCAGGATAAGGCTTGTGGTGTCTGCTTTGGTCACCTGGACTGACCGAGTGTCTATTTAGTTCAGAGACACTTTATATATACTCTGCCTCTTCCCCGTACTCGTGTGACTCCTTTTGTTCTTCACAACTATATTACTTTCCAATAACCTTATTTTCGAACTCAGACTTTTGTCAACTACATCATCCTCAATATCAACCAACAACAACACTACTGCAACCCGGACACTCGAGAACATAGCAACCATGTCTAAGCGGTGGTTCGTCGAGACCACCCCCGAGGGGCGGCAGCAGTTTGTGTCCATCAAGAGATCGCGGTCTTACGGTGGACACCATAACCGCGTTCGTGAAATCGACTACATCAAGGTTAGCCTTGAGGAATGGAACGCTCTTGTCGATAAGGAGCGCAAGCTAGAAGAGGTCAACAAGTCGTTGTCGGACGAGTGCAGCCGCCTCAAGTCGACCGCCTCGACTTCGCAGGCCGAGGCCAAGCGTCTAGCCGTCGTCGTCATCCCCGGACTCGAGAAGCAAATCGGCATACTCACCATCGAAAACGAGTCTCTCCGCCGGAGCATCGACAAGACGGGCGACAGCTCCTCCAAGCATCACCGCGAGGAAGAGAGGCTAAAGTATAAGATTGTCAAGCTCGAGGCCGACAACCTTGAGCTTCGGGAGGAAAACGCAGGTCTGCGTGAGAAGAACCGCAGCCTGTCGAAGCAGCTCGAGCAGAGCTTTAGCCGTCGTGTATCGGAGATTCTTGGAGATGTCGACTTCTGGAAGCACCAGTACCGTCACTGGCGGGCACGATACGATGAGCTACTGAAGCGCTACAACGACATCTTTGATCTGATGGAGACTCGGACAAAGAAGATGAAGGCATACGAAGATATTCTGCGGCGAAACGACATGATCTAAGCGTCTCTGTGCTTTGAAATCTCATTCATCTTCTACCACGTCTATTCTCCTTGAACCTTTTCCGTCTGTGGAACTTTGAGGTCATTTATACGGCTACCTCATTCCCAGAATGAACTGGAGATTGTTGTGATTGTATTACTTTGCGTTCTTATTGGTATGTGGGGATATCGACTACATGTAGGATAGAAAGGTCAAACTGACTATTGCTTTTGCTTATAGAGAGAACTGCGCCCCAGACTTGGGCTTTATATTTCTTTTGTATACTTATTTTTGGATGGATTGGGTATTGGACATGTTATAACGGCTCATTTGTCTTCGTGGTATTCATGGCTATTCTTGCTTATGACGGGCTTTGATGATTATTTATTTACTATTTAACGTTTTCTGTTTACTTCTTCTTCTTCTTCTTCTTCTTCTTTTCTTCGCAACATCAGAAACATTCTATCTAGAATACCAACTTTAGCGAATACGACAATAAATATTTTTTTTTTCTTTGGAGAAGCGGAGAACATAATGCTGCCAATCAGTCCCGTCTACCTCGTGATGTATCCGAATGGCATCAAGTCTCAGAACGCTCTTACAAGCGTCATGTGGACCAAACTGTAAACTATTCTAGGGTAGTCATCACGCGATGACCATGTAGAATATACGCATTTGCAGGAGCCATATTTGCATGCATGCATATTGTAAAAAGCGCTTGAACGAAATGCAAATGCCCATCTTTCTGTAAAGGGCATGCACAGAAAGAGAGTTGCGTGAGCAGAGTCCTATGTACCTTGTATATAGATCTAGATGGTTCTAAATTCAGAAAAGTGAGGCTGGTGGGTACGCGCGTCGATTTCATCACAACAACGGAGCGGGCATTCGCATATTCCTAATTCAGTTTTCGAATACGACGTTGAGCGAATATGTCTCGCCTTGTTATTGGTTTGTTTAAGGGTGTTGGTGATGATGTTGTTGTTGTTGGTGGTGGTTGTGCTGAAGTCGGTATCCGTTGGGGCGAAATGACAACGCAGAGGGTTGGGGGATTACAAATGACGGGATGATTTAATACGAGGGGGATGCAAATGGCCGCGATAAACTTCTTTTTTTGGAGGATGACGAAAATATCCGCTTTCAGGCGGGATTTCGGTGAAGTTGTGGATAAATTCTCAGCGCAAAGGGATGTGGTGGTAGGTAACATGTATGTACTTTGTAGATGTTGGTGAAGTGGCTGCCTTATTGGGGTATTGCCAGATGCGGTTCGTTTAGGCGTTTAAATAAGGACAGGGTCGGGCTGGTTTCTTTTTCAAGCCACGGTGACGATGTGGCTGGTGGGACAAGGATCGAGGCATCTTGCTTGACAGCAATTTATTTTTTTTTGCCACCTTTGGGTATTGATGGCATCTCACAAGCGGGCAGCGTTATTTAGGTTGGGAACACAGGAGCAATCACATGAAATACTACCTGTCAAGTTACGTTGCCAAGACGAGGCACAAACTGAGCGAAACACGGTCTATTATTGGTTGCATGTACTCTCTATCACTACTCGAATAGCGCCAACATGTACACGCAGCTATGTCATCCACCAAATGGGACAAACTATCCCATAACAAAGATGATTGTTTCTAAAAAAAAAAAAAAGACGTTTGTAGCCTGACCAGCTTAGGCAACGTAGTTGACAGTCAACTGGCCATTAACAACATTATTGCCATCATTAGTCGGAACACTCCCACAGACACGCTACCCATGGTCCTCAAGCTACTGCATGTAAGTCAGAGTCTGGCCCTTGTTGAACAGGCGCGAGCCCACGTTTTGGTAAAATGCGCAGAGCCGGCCAGTGACATGCGCGATGCAGCCGATCTGCTGTCCGTCGCCCCAGAGCCCGTCGGGGCCACCGGCGATGGAGTTGCCGAGGTCGTCCAGAGTTCCCGCGGGTGTGTTGAAGATGCCACCTACTTGGCATGTAGAGCTACCCTGGCAGTTGATGCCCAGACGCTTTGCGAGGCTTGGGGTGGTGGTGGTGCCTCTCTTCTTGATGGCGGCGTTTTCGTCGGCTGGCTTTTCCTTTTGAGAGACCGCCCTGACTATGTCCATGCCACGACGAGACGGAGGTGGCCCGCCCATAGCGGCCACCATGTTGGCAGTGAGCATGCCGTTCTGCACATTGTTGCCTGAATCCACAGGGATGCTGCCACAACCTTCGCAGCCGTGGTCCAAAAGAGCCTGGACAAACCGGACAGTCTGGGCGACTGTCCACGACCGCCCCGTCTTCTGGTAGAAGAGGCACAGCGAAGGGTTGCCGAGGCTGACGGGAGACCCGACGCAGGTGATGTGCTGTCCGTCTGTGAACTGCTGGTTCTGGTCCATTCCTCGGAGCTGGTCGAGGGCAGAGGATAGTTCGCCGTTGCTGCCTACGCAGAGGGCGCTGCCTTGGCAGTTTATGCCCATGGCGTTGACTGCGGAGGCGGTGGTTGCGAGGGTGGAGAAGATGTTGTTCAAGTGCATGATTGATAATTTCTCTAATGAAGCAGAGTAAATTGTTTTATTGGTTTGGAAGAGTGCTTGTGTGTTGAGTTGATGAAGAAACAGATATGCTGAAGAGGAAAGAATGTTTCCTTTTGTATCCGTCGATGTCTGGTTCATGATATTTCAGTTGTACCTCTTCAACCCCCTATTCTATGCTAGAATTGCATACATGGTCTTTAAACTCTGAAAAGTAAAAGCGTTCATGCGTTAAAAAATGGTCAGATTATGGCAGGGTAGGAGAATGGAGAGCATCATGATACCTTGACCTCAAAACTGGTGTTCATCATCCAATGCCAGTCGTGCCAACTTATGGCACCTTATGAGAGTCTTTCTGGTAATCATCCAAGTAGTCATTCATCATGGTTCCTCTTTTTCTCGTTTGAAACCCGCCAGTGAATTACTCTATGTTGCTGGTTTGCAAAGGGATCCATCGCGATTAGCTCTTACATTCGCCTTGACCGACTGTACATACGTTCTGGAAACTTTGGGGCTGACTCAGGTAACAAGTAGCGCTACCTCCTTTGGAGAGTTTCTACATAACTTATTGTATGTATTGTAGAGTATAGTTTCTTAGTAAGCTTGTAGTTATGCTTGTCTTAATGAATGACATATAATATTCGTCTTTCCAGTTTATATGATGTAGTTGTGGTGGGGCTATAAAGTGGTAGCAATTGACAGTTTTATCACGAGTAAATCAGTCTTACTGGACGTTACTGAATGCAGAGAAACGTAGAATTGTGATGAAATTGACTTGAAGAGTAGAAAACTGGCTATCTGAATGCCATACCGGGCTGACCAAACATGTAAGCCTCTCTGCATAGTATAGTATGAACTCTAAATTTGTGAGTCAAACCACTAGTAGAGAGGTATTAGCTTGAATAAAGGCATTAAGCACAGTTCTTCAAACGGGGTAAGCACTAAAGTTAAACAGTTTTGCTTCATTGATCGAATCACAGCCCTGCTTAACTATAATCTCCTACCGTAAGAGGCAATGGAAGGATCAGTATCTCATGCGTTAGGTATCCATTTGACTGCTCTTTTGTTCTTTGCAAATGCTATGGAGTTTAACTAGACCTTATAGAGATGAGATCACTATATTCAACTAAAGTAAGACAGTGCAGTGACATCTGGGGACGTTGTATTCCTGATGGCTATCTCCTTATCCAAGTTTCACTTTGTCAATGTCTCTGACTCGTGCTCTATCCGCCAAACTACAGCCGTAGTAGATAACATGTGCTTCGGTAACTTCCAACCCGAGACTTAGTAGGCAAAATGGCAGAAAATATCCAAATTAAGTAAGAAAACAAAATCCCCTTGATGTTTGCTTGAATCCGTGCCCTGGCTTAGCTTTTGATAAGTATCATCTGTGATGTTTGGAGGAGATGCTCCTTTTGCGCGGCTTATGGGCCACTGAATCTGATATGACCAATGGAACCACATATTGAAGGAGTAAATGGGCTTTTTACAACAGGTACTGTATGGAGATATGAATCAATATGCTTGCAAGCAGGAGAAGCGTTGTTGCAGGTCTAAGACAGAGATGAAGTTTGACTACATCTATGTCCTTGGCGGCGGCTTACACAGATCCCCATATTATAAGCAGACGTTTGACAGGTCCGAAATGCGGAAGGGGAGCGAAAACCGGTTGACTAAGCCGGCATTCGCCAGGCTGGGCTGTAGCTGTGTATTTTGATAAAGAGCATTTGTTTCATCAGTTCTAGGAGCGAGAGTAGCATAGATTGAGATGTAGGGACCGAGGAGAACATGAAGATGGTGGCTGTTACTTGTGAAGGTACATGTACCTCCCTCATGTAGAGTAGCCGTTGTTTCTAGGATTTGCAGCTGCTGCGAAGCCCCGCTCGCGAACTGGATGGCTGCCTACAAGTTCAACGAGTCTCGTGTACTTGCACTCTGTAGAGAGTTGGTGCACCTATCTAGGAGGTAGGTACCTAATATAGTAGTATAGCAACATATGCATGATGGAGAGGACATGTCCTCAGAAAGGAACTACATCCTAGTAACTCTTGTTCCCTCACCTGGTGACATGTCTCTACCTGTACTACCTGTACTACCCAAGACACATGCAGTCGATATAATCTGTACATGTACCTTGGCTGCATGTAGCTGCTGTGACACGCTCGATAAATAAATAAATAAAAAAAGCCCCGATTTCTGCAGCAGCCCGTGCATCTGTCGGGCCCGATTTGCGCTGTCAATCTGGCCTACATGTGCGTCGCTAGCCGTGGATGCGGGCAGAACAGGAACACCACTCGGAAACGACCAAGGGACACCACCAAAGAGATGCAGCCAGCGGCAGCATGCGGAAAGGAATGGAATGGAATGGACGGTAAGCGCTGCTGGAGACGAGCCGGCACTTTTCGCGGATTTCGGCTCGCAGGAGGGACGAGCATCGTCGTCACCAGAGAGGACACGCGATAATGGAAGCAGGTATTGGTTGGCTGTGGACGCTGGAGATGCTGGAGATGGGTGCAAATGATGCAGACTGGGCACCCACCTCTGCCTAAACTAACGATTTGAAACACCAAGAGACAGAGGCCGGACAAAGAGAAAGAGCCTTGGGTGTTTTTTCTTTTTTTTTTCTGCTTCCCTCGTGATTCCGCATCACACACACGCACACACACACAGCTTACCTCATTCTCCCACACCCCCCTCTTCAAAGCAAAACAAAAGAAAAGAAACCAAGAAAAAAGTCCTGGTGAGTCACCGTCGTCGATTCGATTCGCTTCTCCCATGCCACGCAAGTCTCCGGCGGCAGGCTGCAGCGTCCCAAAGCGTCCCAAAGCGGCCGGTGGTGAAGCTCCCAGTCGGTTGGCGCACCACCACGGGGGCTGTAACGTCGAGGCAGCGCCTGGATGCCTTGACCAGCACCGCCACAGCAGCCAATGGCGGGCTGAAGACGACGATTTGCCAGCGGCGATGGATCCTTGGCGTTGTAGCAGATACACGAGCAATGGCCGTTAATGGATGGGCTGGGCTGCTGCCGGGAGTGGTGAGTGATGAGTGATGAGTGCATGGGCCAGAGTCTGCTCTGCTCTGCTCTGCTACTGTACCGCGTCCAAGCAACCTAAAGTACCAGATACTCGCGGCCAATGCATTTGCTGACCTGGAATTTCCATGGCGCCACACCTCCTTTTCACTGGCGCTGCTTCACCACTGATTTCCCGTCGTCGTCGCTGTGTCCTGACCCTGGTCTGTCCGGAATCCTGACTGACGGCTTCGCCCAGCGAGTCGAGTCGAGTCGAGTCTCCCAAGGCAGGAATTGGCCACCGACTTCCCTCTCGGCCGTTTTCTCTTTGCTGTCTCTTCTCTTATTACTGCTAACCTCCCTCCCCCCCCTTTTTTTTCTCTGCTTCGATCTATTTTATTTTCTTTTACAGCATCTTATTTTTTCCATCTTACACTCGATATTACATCCATCCATCCATCCTGTGTGCGTGCGTGTGCATGAAGTGTGTGTGAACGGGCCTTCTATCTGACCTCGAAATAATACCACTTTATTCCGCATTCTGCCGGGGGCTGCAGACGAAGAGAGAAAAAAAAAAGTTTTTCTTCCTCCCTCTTCCTCCTTTCACATTCGCATTCTTCTCATCTTCTCATCATCATCATCATCTTCTTCTTCTCGCGCGCCATCATCTTCGCCATCTCATCTCAAAACCTGACGCCTCATCTCATCCTGGTCCCTTGCACGCCGACACACGACCCATCTACCATCTACCGATTGAGTGTGCGGATCTCGCAGACGCACATGAACATTTTTGCGTTTGGAGACACATTTCTGCTTCCACCTGCATAATCCACAGCGTCCGGTGCATAGCGCGCTTGGGTTGACGAATGATCCTTGGGTGAAAAAAGGGCTTCTGCTACCTCGGCTGCTTTCGCCTGCTTTTCGCACCCCTGCCGCACAAGCGTTGGGTTGGGCAGCGTCGCATCCCACTATCATTGGGTCGACAGTCGAATCACTTTTTCGGCTCCTGGAAAAAGGGACAAAATTATAAAAAAAGAAAACTAAAAAAAAAAAAAAAAAATCCTCCTGCGTGCATTCGCACATCACCAGCCATGTCTCTGCACCAGCGAGTATCCGCCAATTCTGGGCGCAGGGCCTCGGTCTCTTACTCGGCGCATTCGGCGCCTTTTGGTACGTCTATCCATAATTCTCTCCCCATGAATGGCCAGCCTTGATGATGCCGTCTGCTCACTCTCCCTTGCAGTCATTTCCGATCACGAACAGCGCCTCCTCGATTCTCTCAACGCCGCTCACACCGAGTTGAACAAGACTAACTCAGAAAGGGACCGATACCTCAGCTTACTGGAACAGGCCAACAAGAAACTCGCTGAGGCAACGGCTACCATCACCGACCTCAAGGCCCAGAACCAGACGTTGAACCAGACTTTCAAGGAAAGCGTTGCCTCTCTCCAGGAGAAGCAGGACCACGTCAAGGAGGAGAATGACAGGCTCATCTTCGAAAATGGCGCCCTGTCACGGGAGTTTGCTGACCTCAAGGTCAAGTTCAGCAATCTTACCCGTCAGTACAATTCCCTGAGCGGCACTGCTCCCGTCTTCCCCTCCAGCGCCGCCAACGACCTGGCTGGAGCGGTGCCAGAGCGTCCCAAGCTCTCCCGCTCCTCCAGCAAGAAGGAGCGCAAGGAGGATCGTGATCGTGATCGTGATCGTGAGGAACGTAGCCGCGTCCGAGACAAGGAGAAGTCACGCGATCGTGAGAAAGAAGACAAGCGCGAGAGAGAAAAGGACAAGGACAAGGAAAAGGACAAGGAAAAGGAGAAGAAGGAGCACAAGGCCGAAAAGGAGCGGCTGTCTCGTCGCTTTGAAGAGAGGCGCGCGGCCCCGCCTCCCGCTCCGGCCCCAGCGCCTCCACCTCCCCCGATCGCCAACCGGCGCAACAGCTTCATTGAGGGCTGGGGCCCCGGTGGCCGGTCGTCATCGGCCTCGGGATCCTCCACTCGGAGTTACACCAACGGACCAAACGGACCCAACGGACTCCATAGCCCCCTTAGCCCCCTTGGCCCCCATGGACTCAACGGACACAATGGACACAATGGGCATATTGGACACGTGCAAGTGCCCGTTGTCACACCTGGCAACAAGCTGCCCTATGCCAACGTCCCCCGGACTGCGACAAACCCAATGACTCCTCGTATCTACAGCGTTGCTGGAAGCACAGCCGCCGTGTTCGATGATGACGGGAGCTACGAGGATGGCAACTACCATGCCTATCCAATCAGCCGATAGACGCCATCTGGTCGTCTTGAGGCAACCTATAGACTCTGCAGGAAATGACTCACTGTCTATCTGCACGGCTGTCTCAAAAAGGAAAAAAGAAAAAGAAAAAAAAAATGACAAAACAAAACAAAAACACATTGGTTGCTCGGATGGTTGTATGCATGCTTGCGGGCTGCATCGTGGGGCTAGTTGCCTCTTCCTTGAGTGGTTTGATTTGATTTACATCTTTATCTTGATGCCTAATTGGGCTGTTTCTTTTACCATCATGTTCCATTGGCTTGCCTTTCCACCCCTTTCGGCCTTTTGACCTCGGATTCGGTCAAACTCAATGACTCTGGACTCATTTTCTTACGGCCCTGGTTCCACTTCTCCGATACCGCCCCGGGATTTTCTGCGGATCTCAGCCCGGCACTCTGCCGCTCTCGGCCCAGGAGAAATGGATCTGACCAATGCCTCCGCTTTGTCTTTGTTGTTACCCACCCGGCTATTTCGTCGCACTACGCTGCTTGGATGTTAGTATCGATTTTTTGTTGACTGCAGGCCCTTGGAATGACGCATCGCTGTCAACAGTAAATTGAAAATACCACCAACAACACGGCTCGGGTTTACTTACTTCTTTGGTTTCTCTCCCTTTTGTCTCTTTTTTCTTCACCCGATTGCCCTGATCATCTCTCCCTTGACATATTGTCTCCCTCCCGTCTTTTGCTTTCTTCATCTGTTATCAAGCTCGTTTGTAAGTCGTGGTGTTGTATTTACACTGCACCTGGCTCAAAAGTACACCAACGCTGTTCTATCAACATGAAGCTTTTCCCTTCTCTCTCAGATGACCTTGCTCGTTGGGCAGAGCTTCAGCCAGTCTTCTTCACCGGCTCAGCTTCTACTCATGGCTGCCACGTCAATGTTTCTCCCAAAGGCCTAGATGCGCACTTTGCTGTCCTTGGCCCTAATCAATGCGCCTACATTGATCGCACTGGATCTGGGTGCGAAACAATTTCTCATGCGTACGAAAACGGCCGTCTTTGTCTCATGTTTATGAGTTTTGGTCCTTCGCCGCGCATCCTGCGACTATTTTGTCGTGTGACCGTTGTCGAGTGGGATCAGCCTGCGTTCCCTGCTCTCGTACGCAAGGTCGCCAAGGGCAAACGAGAAGCCTTCGATGGTGCTCGTGCCGTCATTCTTTGTGATATTTGGCAAGCCCAGACCAGCTGTGGTTTTGGTGTCCCGCGGGTGAAAAAGGGACTCTACAGCCCCGAGGGTGACCAGGACGACAATGGTAATCCTGGTGTCACCAAGGCTGTTGAAGACATCCTCCGCGAAGGATTTCGGGATGACGAGAAGCTGACCGAGCTTTCCGTCTTTGAACAGCGCCCCAACTTGGACAACTATGCTGCGAATCAAGTCCAGAACAATAAGACGCTCAGCTATCAGATCGAAAAAAACTGCAGCAGTCTTGACGGCCTTCCTGGGTTGAGAGCAGCGCGGCGTGAGGCCGGACAGAGGCTTTGGGTGGGCGACTTGAAGGCCAGGATACGGCGCATCGCTTCGGAGGGCGAAGCGGTTGCCGTGGGGTTCCTGTTAGCGACTGTCTTTTATTTTGTTTTGTTTTGGATAGATGCACGCTGGGTTTCTATGATTATGTTGTAACGGTATTGGTCATGTGTATGAGATAGACGGAAGACGGAGGGCTTGTTTTCTGATTAGTTCTTCTTCTTTTCTTCTTTTTCTTTTTCTTTTTCTTTTTCTTTTCTCTTTTTCCACCTTGTTTTTACTTATTCCCTTTGCTTTCCTTGGCTAGCCTTTCTTATTTTCTCTTTATTCTTTTTTATTGTTCTTTTCTTTTTGGATGTTTATGATTATGCTTGTTGGATGTTGTCATTATCATGATTTGCTTTTCGCGTCTACACTTTTTGTTCTTCGTTATAGATACACGTGGATGATCCCTTGCGGGTGAAGATAGTTTTTATGAGATGGATTTCTGGTAGCCTTGAGAATCGGTGCTGTGATGTGAATGTTCGTGATCAAACATGACGATGTAGTTCGTGATGTCTAGAGTGAAGAGCTACTGAGCAATGCATTCACCGTGAATGATTCAGTGTTATAAAAATATTAAATGAGCGACTGTGAGCATTAGTCCCGAGCATCAACGAATAAACACCCATCATTCCAAAAAGTGTCTGTTTATTCGCTGTTAGAATCGGCGTTCAACTACGGCATAGATAGCCTAGGAGCTAGATAGCAACCGTCCTCATGCCTTCATTCCCAGTCCATCTCCCCACGCATCTTCCCTTCCCCCCACGCTACAGATACATATATCGCCTTGAACCGAAACAAAGTTACACCGACGGATTTATATGTGCAATATTCAAGGATCCAGCTGCGTACGGCAGGCGGCGATGACTATGTCTCTGCATCTTTTGTTCTGGCGTCAGGTCATTAGCTGACGATGACCATTGTGACTTGGCCCTCGAGTTAATGGATCCTTGGTTTCCGACAATAATACTAGGTATATATCGTTCAGCGCAAGGCTTAGAGATGGGACTACTTCTGTTTGTGTATTCGCTTGGACACAAGCCATTTTCCCTTTCCACAAGAAGAAAATTTCATCCAGCGGAGCCAAAAGCGAGAATGCTGTGACCTGGAGTGCATTCTGCTGAGCTGAATTGGATCCGCTACGACTACTTTTTAAATCAAAATGATAATGAAAGGCGTCGAAAGGTTTGGCAAAATAGCACACGGCTCAGCCACCGCTCGTTGCAGCAATGGGAGTGCCACTAGTAGCAGTAGCTGCCTTGCCACCCCTTCCACGTCTGCCACGTCCAGTGCCTGAGCTCTTTTCAGGGGCAGCGCCGTTGCTAGCCGTGTTGGATGCAGATGGTGTGGCGGCGGCATTACCACTGCCTGACGAAGCAGGGGCGGGTTTCTTGTCCTTGCGCTCCAAGACTTGAACAGTCCCTTGCGCAACGGAAATGGGGCTGGCAGAGATGGCCTTGGCAAGGCCAGAGTGGTCTGCAAAATCCACGTACGCAAAGCCCTTGCGTTTATCCACCTCGATGAACGTAATGGTACCAAATGCCTCGAGGGCTTGCTTCAACACGGGCTCCGTGATGCCCTGAGAAGAATTGGCGTGCTTTACAAAGCCGCGAGTGGCGTTGGCGGATGCCGCTGCCGCAGATTTCTTTTGAGAGCCTGAAGATTTGGCAGAGGCCCCCTTGGGGCCGTTGGCTGCACCGCTGGCTGACTTGGAGTTGCTCTGCTGAGTAGCGGAGGCCGTCTCAGCAGTGGACTTTGATGCATCTGCGTCGCCGCTAGCGCCACTCTTCTTTTTGAGGATGACAGGTGGAGTGATGTTTGTGTTCTGTCCTCCGGATGCTTCCGATGGCTTGGGCTTGTCGGCATTCTTACCGCCACGGGTCTTACGCGCTGGCTGCTGTGCCTTGGAAGCATTCTCTTTAGCGGGCGTCTGAGCACTTGTTGCCGTTTCGGTTGAAGCGGGTGCGAGAGAAGATTGGTTCTCGTTTGCTGCGCTAGAGATTTCTTTATTTTCTTTGTCGGTTGCCGAAGATTTGGAACCAGCTTCGGCCTTTGCAGCATCTTGTCGTGCTCGTCGATAGGCACTACCTGGGCTAAGACCGAGATCTCTCTGTAACATGCGAGCAGCAATAGAGACACCAGCACGGCGACTCTTAGGAGTTGGTGCTTCCGTGGTACTGGCTGCATTCCCGCTCGTGCTGGCCTGGCTGGCGGCCGGTTTGGCGGCTTCAGCAGACTTTTCAGAGGCAGTTGCAGCGGCCTTCTTGGTGAGTATTTTGACGGGCTCCTTGGGGGCGGGCTTCTCAGTCTTAGTGTTCTTAGAATCCTTGCCTTTCTTTTTAGAGCCCTCATCCTCCTTTGACGCGGATTTACCCTTTGTTGTTGTAGTCTCTTGCCTGGAATGCTTCGCACTCTTGGCGGCGGCAGCTTCCTTGGCTTTGTTTGCTTTCTTTTCCTTCAGATACTCAATCAATGGTGTGGTAGTGACCTTGGTTTCCGGTGCTTCTTCAACGTCTTCGTTCTCAATGCCTTCCCTTGGCGGAGCAGGGTTTGCAAGACCTTCAAGGAACGCCATAAATTCCGGGTCTTGGTCAATAGTTCCCTGACGAGCATCAACACGCTTCTTAGTCCCGGGCACCTTTTTGTAGATGGACATCTCCAGGGCAGGGGGGCCGATGAGAGAAGAGCTGTTGAAGGTACATTTGGCGTCCTCCCAGGTCGCGCTTCGAACAACTTCACTAAGAGGCATGATGTAGTCCTTCCGCATCACATGGAGATATGCTCTTGCAGGCCGGGATGGCTTTGAAAGCCTTGATGTTGCCAATGTTAGTTCGTCAAAGCTAGAGAAAACAAAAGATAATGGGGATGGGGATTCGCATCTGGCTGCTCAAAGACATACTCATTAGATGCCTTGCCAGGGGCATAGGAAAACCAGTCGACCTTGCCACTGCCCACCGCCCACTCAGAGCCCAGAATAGAGAGACATTCGGCTTCGGTCATGCCAGGAGGCAGGCGGCGGATGATAACCTTTTCGCCTTCATGAGGAGTCCTAGTCTTTGGGGCCTTTGGCGGGTCTGCGTCGTTGGTGCTCCGGGCCTCAGCTTGCTTCTCAGCCGAGCCCTTAGCCTTACCAGGGCGAGACGCGCCGTCGGCAGTGGCTTTACTCTGAGCAAGGCATCAGCTCACTTCGATCCCGGACAAGACACTGGGTCATCTCACCTTGGTAGACTCAGATGCCGGAGCGTTTGTCCTGCGAGACAGGACCTGCGGTGTGTGAGTCGACATTGCGCATGTCGTAGAGATTTGGAGACGCAAGGTCAAGCATCAACGGAGTTTGTGTCTGGCCGGCGGCTGAGGTTCGAGATCGAGATACCGAGATATCGTGAAATGAGTCGCAGCCTTCCGTCATATGAGAAAACGCGGGTCCACTATTAATGGCTTCGTAATAAATAGAACAGACCAGGGCAAAGGCCTGTGAGGACGGTATCATAGAAATCGGAGTTAGTTAGTGCCGTTTAATCGAGACTTTTCGTGGCGGGTGAAAACTCCCCAGTAAATATGGAGAGTCACGTGCCACGGTTTGCGAGGATTGATGAGATTGTGTACTTATTGACTTATGGATGGATCAAATTGTTTTTCCATCGCCACAGGCAGGTACGGAGTACATGTAGCTGATCAGTGCCAATCTCGATGACCGTGACCAGAAAAGCCAGGTGGCCAAGTATATCTTGCAAGAACGTGACTGTATGAGACATGTATGCACATACCTGCAGCCGTACTACTGTCAACGCTGCTCGATACATTGGCGGTACCAATAAGAGACCTTAGCCGGATCAGTGCTACCTCTTGGTCCTCCCAAAAGCGCTGCACGTCACTGAGGCCGCTAGTTCCAGCGACTGCACAGGCCCCTCCGAGGAAGATCCGGCGCTGGGCTCACTGAAGCGCAGCCCCCTGGCGCCCTGAAACCGCAAGCCAACGGCCAAACCCCCACCACAAACTCCATCGTCATCTTTGGCCGCTGAGAAAGCGTCAATCAACCAAAACCATCCCTTGACTTTGGCATCGTGTCGGGCTGACACACCCCAGCCGTTGCGCCGTTGCCAGACCGCAGTCGCCAAGATGACGACAAACGTTCCTCGACCCGGGCCCGCCAACCTGAGCCCCAATGCCGGGCTGGACGAGTGGCTGGAAGAGGCCAAGCAGTGCCACTATCTGCCCGAGAGGGCCATGAAGGAGCTGTGTGAAAAGGTCAAGGAGATCTTGATGGAGGGTACGGACGCACGGAGAAGCATGGAAGCATGCAGCCGCTAATGCCACGAGTCTCGCAGAGTCCAACATCCAGCCCGTCTGCACGCCCGTCACCGTCTGCGGCGATATCCACGGCCAGTTCTACGACCTGCTCGAGCTCTTCCGCGTCGCCGGTGGCATGCCGGGAGAGACAAACGTCCAGGCGCCCAAGTCAGCGACCGCTGTCATCACCTCGGAGGATATCGAACCCCCGACCGAAATCACAAACCCGAAGCTGAGGAAGAAGCTAAAGTCTCCCGGAGGCGGGGCCGAGTCGGGTGACGTTGACGGCGACGAGGACGGAGAGGAAGAGCAGCAGGGGGCCGTCGATGTGCCCGCAGTTAACACAGTCACGTCTTCACAGAGCGCGGAGACTCGCTTCGTCTTTCTTGGAGACTACGTAGACAGAGGATACTTTAGCTTGGAGGCGTTTACATTGCTCATGTGCTTGAAGGCAAAGTATGTTGTTTTTGTTTGCGCTCATCGCTTTTTTTTCCCAACGGCGGAGGGACCTTTCTTCTTCTTCTTCTTCTTCTTCTTTCCTTTTCATTTTGCGCGATTCAAGAAATGCTGACGCTGCATATTTAGATACCCAGATCGCATTGTTCTCGTCAGAGGAAACCACGAATCTCGTCAAATCACACAAGTCTACGGCTTCTACGAAGAATGCCAGCAGAAATACGGCAACGCATCCGTATGGAAGGCGTGCTGCCACGTCTTTGACTTCCTTGTTCTCGCTGCTATAGTTGACGGAGAGCTGCTCTGCGTCCATGGCGGTCTGAGTCCCGAGATTCGGACCATTGATCAGATTCGTGTTGTTGCCCGTGCTCAGGAAATTCCCCATGAAGGAGCCTTTTGCGATCTCGTATGGTCAGATCCTGACGACATAGATACATGGGCTGTGAGCCCACGAGGAGCTGGTTGGCTCTTTGGAGACAAGGTGGCCACCGAGTTCAACCACGTGAATGGCCTAAAATTGATTGCGCGAGCACATCAGCTTGTAAATGAGGGCTACAAAGTGAGTTGACTCTTTCTCATGCCTACCGAGCTTTGCTACGTCCGACGAGGTTGCTAATCCTTGAAACCCCAGTATCATTTTGACGAAAATTCAGTCGTAACTGTCTGGTCGGCTCCAAACTACTGTTACCGATGCGGCAACGTCGCTTCAATAATGACTGTGGACAACGACTTAGCTCCCAAGTTTAGCATATTCTCTGCGGTTCCTGACGACCAGCGGCATGTGCCTGCAAGTCGGAGATCGCCAGGCGACTACTTCCTGTGATTAGATTGTGAAGACGGGGAAGGGGCCGGTTTAGATTGGGCCGAGTAGGATTGGGTTTTTGCATGTAAACTAGCATTACGGGTTGAGATATCCATGACTTTGAAGAATCGACAATGCATTAGGATTATAGGTAGGATTGGGGGGATCTGGCTAGCGGAAACGAACAGCGGTGATAATTATTATTTAGAAGAAAAATTGATAAACGAAGCCTTCTTTTATCGTGTTTCCCATTGTATTAGCGAGGAAAATGGATCTGGTCATTTGTGAGTTTGGTGGTGTTGATGGTATTCGTGTAGCATGAATATATGACAATTGGAATCTGGGCTGGAAAAAACTCAGCTTCTCTTTTTCATTTTCTTTTCTCTCACTTTGTTTTCTCAGTCCACAACAGCAACCAGCGTTAGCCTGCTGAATTAACATAAGAGCCGATGGAAGAAAAAAGAGAATCGATTTACAAATTGTAATACTAATTTAGTCGCCGATTTGAAGCGCCCATAAACAAAAATCTGGCTCAATGGCGACTCACCAATCAGGCCACGAAAGTCGACACAGCAAACCCAAGCCACGTCAGGTCAATCCCATCACGGCCGCAATACAGAGTTGGATCGCAGCAACGCTTCCTTCTACAGAATCTGATAGTCAGAATTCACGGAATGAAAATCTTATAAACTCGGCGCCGAAACGCTTCACCATCTATGAGCCACTCGCCTTGCTGCCGACTGGAAGCTTCACTAGCGAAACATGGGCTTCTATCTTACGAACCTGCGATGAAGCGACCTGCAATTCTCTATGGCGGTCCATACTGGAGGAGATCTCCAAGACTGGGCAGGGAAGGGTGACGCATCTGGCTGTCAACGAGGGCATACCGCTGCACAAGAACGGGGAAGACGCTGAGAACGTGCGAAGAAGCCCAAGCGGGCTGAGGATGCTCTTTGGAGACTTTGGGTCGGCAAGAGGGGGCGATCAGCCTACAAGAAGTGACTTTGACGATGCTTTTTGGGTTGGGACGAAGCAGAATGGGATACTGCAGACGTGGGCTCCTAGATGGACCATGTTTTCACGGGGGAATGTCAAGGAGAAAGCGAGGGTACTGGGATTCAAACGTCCCCCCGTCGGACAAGGGGACAGATGGGCTGTTGACTTGTATGCTGGGATCGGATACTTTGTGTTTTCGTACGCTTCGCTGGGGATGAGGGTTCTGTGTTGGGAAATCAACCCCTGGAGCGTCGAGGGCCTTCGACGAGGTGCCAAAGCGAACAAATGGAGTGTCAAGGTCATTCAAGGCGAGGATTTGGCGCTGCCGATGGAGACGCTGCTTGCTGGAGGAGAAAGAATTGTCGTCTTTCTGGAGAGCAACGAGAGAGCGTCGAAACGCATTGCGGAGGCGCAAGATTCGGAGCTGGCTAGCAACATTACGCATGTCAACTGCGGCTTCTTGCCTACTAGCGAACCCGTGTGGGAGAGTGCATGGGAAATTACACGGCTGGCTCCCGAGGCATGGCTGCATTTACACGACAACGTTGGCGTGGCAGACATCGAGTCCCGGCGAGCAGCGATTCAGACGACTTTTGCGGCGTGGGCTGCTTCGGGAGGAGGCTTAAGGAGGCCGAGCGTTGAGCATGTCGAGCAGGTCAAGACGTTTGCGCCGGGGGTGTGGCATTGTGTCTTTGACGTTTGTATTACAGGCAGTAGTATATCAAATAATGGTACATGAAGAGTATGTGTACATCAAACTTTCAGATCATGGCGTTCGTCGTCCTCATGTCAGCTTCCATTGCGCCGTCGCTTTCCTGCATCTTGCAACCGTATCTTCCCTTATTCAATCTCAAATCAAGTCAGTCTTATTATCAGCTCATCTTCAGGAATTTCTTAGGGATATTTTCCTCCACAATGGACATCTGATCCATCTTCTCCTGCTGCTCCTCCTCTTCCTCCATCTGCTCATGCTTCCGGAAGTGCTCAATGTCTTCCGGGTGGTTCAGGTCATCCAGCTTCGTGTTCTCATCATGGTACTTCTCCCAATGGTGAATTTCATACTCGTATTCGTCGTCGCCGTGGTGGCCCGGGCCAGTGTTCATATCCGGGAGCGTCTTGCCTTGAGCCGTAAAGTCGGTCCACTCGTCGCGGCTGACGATGCCGTCGCGGTTCAAATCCAGGAGGTCGAGCAGCCCGCGCAGGATCTCGTCGCGGCGCTCCCAGGATACGTGCTTGTTGGACTCGTCCATGAGGCCGTACGTGCGGAGGAGCTCTTCGCCTTTCCAGTAGCCGTCGCTGTCGTAGTCGTGGAGGGTGAAGAAGGAGGCCGCGTCCCAGCCGTCGACGTGGTGTTCCTCTGCGAGCCATGCTTGTTAGAACCCTAGCTATATCATAGAGACGACTGCATTCATCCGAGGCTTACCGGCCATGTGTTTTGTCATCCAGTTGGCATTTGCATCGACAATTGGCTTCTGAGAGTGGGAGCCATGGGCAATGGCCACGCCCGCGATGGCGGAACAGAGGAGGAACGCTCGCATTTTGTTGCGCGAAGAGACGGAGTAGCTAAAAGATGAATTGACGAGAAAAGGACAAGGCTGGATAGAATGCGACAGAACGCGATGTAATGGACTTCGCAGTGGCAATGAGACGACGTCGAGATGAGAGGTGGCCACGGAGGCTGCACCAGCGCTTCGCTAGTCGAATTAAGCTACAGGCACTGAGTCCAGGCCACATGTCAGCGCCTAGAATCGCTAACGGACGGTGACATCGAGAGGCAGGGGCGCCAAAAAGGCATTGTGGGCAGCCAATGCAAGGGGAAGCATCCGCTAAACCTACCTGTACCACTCCTAGCTGCCGAGCTGGGCTTCTAGATGTTGATTTCGAACTTGATTTACCGTCGCAGTCGGATTTCTTCCCTCTTACAGGTGCATAGAGGTATTCATAGCTTTTTAATATGGTCTTTGTCTGAATAACGCAAGGGACAATCAGCCGGCGACAGAAAATCTACAAAGAATCGGTGTGGAATATACCAATCAGCATATCCATCAGCTACAGCTCTTTATTAGTTGGACCCCGTGATCTCGCGTTTCCATCAGCCCCGCCTCGCGTCCCGCTTCACGATCCAATTCTCAAGCAAGCAAGGGATGTCATCAGGCCCAGTTCCAACTGCATCAGCGCAATTGCAATCTCCATCACAATGAGCAAGCAAGTCGAGCTCGCTCTCGTCTCGTTGATGCCGACGTATGGCTCCGACCTCCCCGCCAGCCTCGTCGAGTCCGCCAGCTCCCTGCTCGCCCAATCCCGACATCTAGCCAGCACGCTCAAGGCGGAAGAGGAGATTGCCCGCCTCTATGCCTGCGCACACATTGCCTGCAGCAGGTAATGGATACCACTCAGACCAGCTCGTAGGTCGAATGGCCACTAATCAATTACACGCGCTACAGGCTCAAAATTACGCTGGACCTCCCGACAATAGAACCACGGCCGCCGATACCTCCCCGGGTGTATAAACGCCTGTATACGCACCTCGATAATATCCTTCCCAACACATCGGCCAGCGGGCGTAGAACACGCAATGCAGGTTCCAGGCAGAGAGACGTAGGGGAATCGCCATCCTCGCAAACTCGCCCTCTTCCTTCAAGGCCTGAGCCCAGCAAAGAGAGCAGTCTTGCGCAGTTCCGAAAACGGGCGGGCTCAGATGCCAAAACACCGACCAAATCGAGCAGGCAGGGTCACGCGAGTGTCAAGGAATCAGACATATATCCCTGGATCCAGCCTGTCATCCGGCACTTGTGCGCTGGATCTGGGCACAAGAAATTGGCACCCTCGATGCTGGCGGGCATGGAGTCGATTTTGCTCTCCGGGGGACGAAAAACAAAAGATGCGTGGGCATTGAAGAATGCTACTGCGTTATGCGCAGCCGTCATCTTCTTTGTTGCTATGCGTGTGAGAGATGTCGACCAGGAACAAGCCATTCAACCTGAAGTGTACGAGCCGACTCGAACTGAGATTATCGGCCAGCTCAATCGAGCTCGTCAAGAAGTTGAGGTCAAAGGTGTAGAGCCAGATACACTCTGGGAGGGCTGGGCTGATGTGAGCAACGACGATTTTGATGCCGCGGCATCAAGAATCCGCGACAAGGGCTGGCTGGAGGCCGACTGGTATAGTGGCATTACAGACGTCATCAACATGGGCCTGCAGCAGGATGATGATGTAGTCAACGACCTGGACGAGGAGGACGCGCTGCAGGTTCAGCAACAGAGAGCGGATACCATGTTCCAGGACAAATACAATTACTTGAGCGAAGGCCGTAGAGCAGAGTACAAGGCGTGGAAAGATGACACCTTGACGCGGATCGCAGAACTGTCTGCATCCTTGGAGGCTGGTGGAGGCAATGATACCCAATGAGCATGTGAAAGGGGCAGAAGCGTTTGACATTAAGATGGCTATATACAGAATTTTTACTCATCTCGACATAATTTACATGTTCTCGACGTACAGATGCAGATTCCCTTCCCTTAGGCCAGCTTGCCCGGGACAAAGGGGTGTCCAGCACTCAACCCTCCATCTACAGCCCAGGCCTGTCCATTAACATAGCTGGCCTCGTCACTGCCCAGGAACAAGACGACGCGCGCAACCTCGTCTGCACGTCCACCGCGCTTAGTCGGGTTCAACTGGCCAATCTTCTTCTCGTTGCCACGGGCGCGAGCAGCCTCGTACACAGGCGCCGTCATGCCCGTCTCGATGATGCCGGGGCAGATAGCGTTGACGCGAACGCCGGAGCCCGCAAGCTGGTAGGACATTGTCTGGGCGAGAGAGACAACGCCGGCTTTGGCGGCGGAGTAGGCAGTGCTGCCGGCATTGGAGCGAATGCCGGCAACAGAGGCGGTACCGATGATGCTTCCGCCGGGAACTGGCTTCTGGGACGACGTTTTTGTCATGGCTGGGGCGGCGTATTTCGCAGCCAGGAACACGCTGTAGCATTGGTCAGTTTCGGATGGGCGATGGTGATGAGCGACGCGCTCCATAAGAAAGGACGGACCTCATAGTGTTAACCTTGTATACATTCATAAAATCCTCGGCTCCAATGTCGGTGAAGATGACATTTGGGCCTGTAATGCCGGCATTGGCAAAGAAGACGTCTAGGCGACCGTAGCGCTCCATTGCGTCGTCGACAACGGCCTTGACCTTTGCCTCATCCGAGGCATCGAACTGGCGCGTGTGAACCTCGACATTGGGGTACAGCTGGTTGATTTCCTTCTTGTGAGCCTCAAGATTTGAGCCATCAAAGTCGCAGATGTAAATGGCCCGAGCACCGCTCTCGGCATACTGGTGAGCGGTGGCCCTGCCAATGCCAAGGGCAGAGTTTGCGCCTGTGGAATGAGTATGTGCACTTTTGAGCGGCGGGGGAGAGGGAGAGGCATTACCGGTGATGATGACGACTTTGTCTTGGACTCGGGGCTTGCTGGAGCCGGCGGCGACTTTGGCAATGGGAGGGAGGAGCTGGGAGGTGAGAGCTTGGATGCGGTTCTCGGCCTTTGATTTGTCGGACATGATGGGCAGTTGTGGTGTTGAGAAGATGAGATGATGGTATGAGGGATGATCAACGGCTGATATTGGTCTATTTCAAGGAAGAGATGAAGGAGAAGAAAAAAAGCAGGTGTTATAAGATGACTGTCTATCGATAATCTTACATACCGTAGCTGGCGATGCTACCCCGGATGGAGCTCTTCATTGTCCTTATCCGGGGCAGATAGGCCTAGATGCCGAGGCTCGGTGGAGGGCTAGACTGGTTTTGGGGGCTGTGGAGATGGTCCCCCGCAAAGTTAACGAGGCTTCTCCAGGAACGAAATGCTGCTTGCATTGTTAGTGGGGGATGCTTTGTATGGTGGAGTGAGTATATTCTATTGTTTTGGCTTCATGTGTAGTCAGGTTGTTGGCATTGGTGTATAAAGAGAAGGAGGGGGGGTAATACTTAGGTAAGGATGGAATCGATTGGTGCCGTTTCTGGTGAGAACATGTCAAGTGAGGACATATCAAATTGTGTTAATTGGCTTTGGGGATGTCATGTGGTCTATGAGAAGGTAAAAACAAATTACTGTCGTCTGCCATTTCCCAATATGGCATCCATGGTTCATTGATTGGTGACAAGGATAGAGAGACATGCCAGTCTTTGGAGTGGACCATGTCCAGACATTTCGACCATTCGATTTGGATTTCTAGATTCAATTACCCATTAATTATGCTCCCATAAATAAAGATGACTGACAAATACAATGAGACATCATTATGTAAAGATGGGAATCATTTCCCTGCTGCGTCATACCAATAACTACCTGTAGGCATCACTGTCGGCAATTCGGCCATCTACCTATACATCGTCCTTGCGTTGTAATCGACTTGCATGGATATCAATCCCTTTAATCTATCTGCTATATGTTCTTCTCAGCTGCTTGATCCTTCCATATCGTATCCGCTACCATCTATAGTAGTGGGATTATTGGCGTGCAGATACGAAGTGCTGATGGCAATCATAGCAGGACCCCGATTATCGGCAACAAGCTGCAAACTTGCCCAAAACACCAATCCAGGCTCCGTCTGTCTTCATTGGGCCCTCCAAAGCCACCCATCGAAAAAGCCTCTTTACCGTGCCAATCACTTTGCATCGCCTACGATCCAGCTGACCAGCGCCCTCCCAGGGGTCAAACGAGACACCGCTTCCGCATGCGTTGGCGTAACGCTCAAGCCCAAACGCTGTGCCGCGGTTGCCAACGCCGTTTGGGAAGAGCGCCGCTCTCTTGTCGGGTCTTTCAGCGTCCTTTTCTCTGCCTCTGCCTTTTTGTCACACCGCTAGAGGAGTGTGATTGTGCGCCCGTGGTGGCGGCTTTCTGCATTGGTTTGCGGTGAGGTCGCGTAAGCCAAGCTTTTGTATACGGACGCCTCGCATTGTTTGGTTGAGCCACGACATGAGGAGAGCCAGGGAAGAATTTTAGGGCTGGGGTTGGTCCAGGTTTGGGACAGAAAGTGGCAGAGAGAGGCATAGAGAAGGAGAGAGAGATACACGCGCACACACACGAAAGAGGGAGAAGAATACCAAGTTCGGCTTCGGAAGCAAAGACGTCATGGCCGCCTCCTTGTTCTCCTTCTCTTCTGCTCCTGTTACCTCGCAGAACGGCGAGGCGTTGATCACCTGCAGTCACAAACGCCCATATTGCATTTCGAGGTGTGAACGGCATGAATACGAAAAGTTTGTCTTGTCTGGCTGGCAGCTCTTTGGCAACTTGTTTGCGACAATCCTGCAGGCTCGGCTTCTCCACGACGCGATTCAGCCGCTTGAGTGGCGGCACCCCTGCAGAGCAACTTTACGTCTCTTCCCTCGAGTCCATATCGATTACGCTGGGTAAGGCAGAATGGCCGACTGCTGCAGACTGGAGGTACGAGGATGGAATTTCTGTGCTTTGTGTTTATTACTTGGTTCCACAGTTACTCACTTTTGAGCTCATCGAGGCTCTCTTTCGCTCTAGTGATGGTCAGAATCGTCTGATATTCTCTGCCATCACCCATGGTACTGCCTTGGCTGCATTTTCTCCCAGTTTTCTTCATCAGTATGCGTGGATTCCAGCATGTTTCAAATTAGCTGCAGTGGGCTTGCAGCACTGGTAAGTACCTTGTAAGGCGCGAGCAAAAAGAAATGCCAAATGAGCGTTTTTCGTACTCGTTTGTCAATCTCGTCTATCCCCGAGATTGTCAGACTAATGCGGGCTTATCACAAACAATGATGCTACATCAACTTGGGACGAGACGATAGGTTGCCAGCATTGTGCTACCTTCGACGGCCAACAGCATCCTTCTTTCTCGCTTCCATTTCCACAAATTCGAGTTGGAAATGCCATGCCATGGTCTCTTAATTTATTCTTTCTCCCTCAATGTCATCATGCCTCGCAGGCTGCTTCTGTTTCACTCTATTCTATTTACGTCAACTTTTGCGAGGGGGAAAGGAGGACGATTTAAGTGATCAATATTGCACAGACTAGCGGCTCAACTCATACACCATTCTTTTTATCAGCTGGGAGAGATCATTGGCCACTTGTAGAATCCCCCTCCGCTTGGCGTCACCGTGTTGTGAAGCAGCATCAACTACTCGTACCAGCTGCAGAATACGCCTCGAGTCAACTGAAGTTGTGTCGTACAAGCTTACTACCAGTCTATTGGGCAGCACTAATATATGATGCTTTCAGCCCCGAAGCACGCTCTAGCAACTGTTCTCGAAGCATAAAGAACTCCCGCTCTCTCCTCGAGTCAAGTGGCTGGCCTGTTTGCTCAGGAGATTGCCACTCTGGACCCTCATTCAACGAGCAATCAAGAATACAAAGGGGTAAACGGCCACGGGCGGTGTTTGTATCTTGAAATCTGCAGTTGTTGCATGTAGGTTCTGATCTTCCACGAGGAGGCCATGAGCCGACAGGGGGGCCAGAAAGCCACCGGGAAGCAATCATCCGCCACGGTACTTGGATGGTTCCACATTACACAAATTGTTTGAAGCGAGCTTCTGTTGAATAGTCTACAGCTCGACCAGGTTGTGGTGCCTCGGACAGCTCGTCTCCACCAGAATCTTTGCATGGCTTCCACCCATTAGCGCCATCGTCGCGTCCGGCCGGCCCCGAGGTCGATGGAGGCTATTGGGCATCCACGACGCAACCGTATATCCCAAGCTCGAAAGGTAATGTCTGCAACCCGAGAGCCATACGAAGACGTTCTCGTCGGGAGCGGTATGCCGCAGAGCCGTGTGAGACCCTCCTACAGATGGCCCCGTCTGCTGTTCTTCTTTTTGAGGCTGAGGCTATCCATGTTCCTTACCAAAAGGTCACGGACCATCCTCGCACCTGTGTTTCCTTCTCATACTGAGCCATTGACATGTACGAGGTATATAGTAGACACCCAAGGCCCTCGGATCGAATAATCGTTTTGAAAGTTTTTCAATCCACGCCGCCCAGCATCTTGCCCCTCAATGAAAGTTCTGATGCCGTGAATTCTTCTCATTATTGCTCATGTAGCATCTACACTCGTTTATTATATGATTGGTATAACTCTGTTGTTGTACTTTTTTTCAACGATACCTCAAATTGATGATTGAACGATCTCCTCTGTTTCTACCGAATCATTAATACTTAGACTTGCATATAGACATTGGAAAAGATTGACGGCGAATCGTTATGGAAGAACCCAACTTTATCGACGACTCGATTCCCTTGGCTACAACTAATGAGCACCATGTTTCTGACTGTTCAGCAGACTGCCAGGCCCAGTTTTTCAGGTTATTGACGTCCAAGAAGGAGGCAGCTGGGGCAATGTGTCAGACGTTTTCACGTTTGTTAGAGGACGGAAGAGGAGGATTTCCCGTGCTTTACTACTGTGGCTCCCATCTGTGCAAGATGAAGAGCATAGGAGATGCTGACCAAGATTGTGCGTCGGCCTTCTGGAGATTGCAGGTTTATATAACTAAGTTTTCTTCTAGTGAGCCTCCACCAGTTCCTCAACTCTTGTCAAAGGTAGTGTGCACCTTCTATTCAACAGCTGAAAGACAAGCTCATTAAGATTGCTCATGGCAGAAATGTTTACAGCCCTGCATCTCATCCTATATCGTCAGATGAGTCGCATGTCCGCTCGAAGAGTATCGTCGACGGAAAAAAACATGCTCGTCGACAGCAGCAGCAACCTACTACACCAATTGTGGCCGTTCCAACCGCCACTCTGTCAGGATTTCTAGTAGAGGGGTTTCATACCATCACAACCAATATTAGCCCCCCTTCTGCATCTGAGATAACTCATGACGTTGACGCCTCGGGGTCTTCTGTGAGTCACTTGGTCACGACGACGGAAACCTCGAAGCCTCTTCACCACAGAACAGGAGGCAAAAGCCAAGTGCCTTCCAGCACAAAGGTCACAATCGGCGTCTCCGTCATGGTTGGAATTCTGGCGGTCGTTGCCTTGATCGCATGGCACCTGAAGGTGAAGGCGCGGTTCCGCAACAAGAAACGCATCAGTCGTCCCATTAAGCCCAGCAGCCTTCCACCTACGCCGCTCATATCTCCGTCGAGCTTGTATGCCGGACCCCCCTGTGGCCCGTTGACGCCACCTCCACGACTGCAAGAGCGACGCTTCTTGTTGACCAGGGCGCTGAGCCTGCGCCGCAATAACCACCGCCGTCAGTATAATGAAGAGGACTCGCAAGAATGGACCGGTGTGCCACTGTCTCCCATGCCGCCTCTGTCACCCCTATCGCCAATCTCCATCTCTAGAGCCAGGAGGGGCCCAGAAGATGGCGAACACGGAGGCATTACGGCAACAACCACAATCTCGCAGGCGACGACTGTGACGAGGCCACTCAGGGATGACGTTGCCCCAGGCGCCAGCGTCTCAAGCATCTTCAGTACCACCAGCACCTTGAAGGCCACTTCCAATGTATCCGCCGACTCGGCACAGATGAGATACAGCGGCGCCACTGCCACTGAGTTTCCGCGACCGCCGCCACGAGTGTATGAAGCACCGCTGGTGGTTCGTGGTCTGGCGAGTCCCGGGCCGCCACCAACGCGAGCGCTTCCGAGTCTTCCTGCGGATGGCCGGATGAGCCCCTTGAAATCGCCTTTGGTATCGCCAACGGGTCGGACTCGGCAAGTGTCACCAAGCTTTGCGGCTGTGACTGGACTGTCTGCGGGCACTAGTGAAGGAAACGGTGGCGCTCAGAGGCCAGGGGAGGAGAGTAGCCAAAACGGCGCTGGGAGACCTCTAGAGACACCGATGCAGTCTCCGAGGAGGGTGAGGCATGTGGCCAGTCCGCTGTTGAATGAGGTTTGTTTGAACGATGTGAAGAAGGAGTGAGAATGTCTGGAAGGCAGAAGAATGGTTAGAGTTTGCGATATAATATATGATGTGTGTGCGCTACATGGAGGAATCAGGAGATAGGGGGGTTTTACAAAACGAACTCCAACACTCATAGATATTTCTTTTCGATCTTTCAACTTTTAATCTAAAATGTTTTGTTTTATTAATTGCTTGTCACTGCTTTTTTATATACATACACTATCTAGTAGACCAATCTAGATGCCGTGGGCCTTGAGTGAACGGACAGTGTCAGACACGCTCTTCTCAATAGAAATCCACTCAATCCCCAGCAACTTGTACGTCGCATCGTTGTTATACTTGAACGTCTTGTTCTCATCCGCAGGCTCTCCGCCTGGCACTTCCGGGCCGGGCAGTCTGTCGGCGTACTCGGGGAAACCCTCGCGGACGATCCTGGCAACCTCCTGGTTGGACGTCCTGCCTCCGACGGTGAAGAGACGACGGCCTCCGGCTTCGGGGATCTCAAAGGCCTTGATGTGGGCGGCAGCAGCGTCACGCACGTCGATCCACAAGCCGACGGGGCCAGTGTCGCCGATTCGGGTCTTCCATTCGCCACGCAGAAGTGCGACGATGCGCTCATTAGACGTGTTAATCGAGTCGAGCGAGGCCAGGCTATGAGCCACGGGTCCAAAGACAACAGGTGGGTTCACAGTAACGAGGTCGAAAGAGGTCTTCTCGCGAGCGACAAAGTCCCATGCGAGGCGCTCGGCGGCCGTCTTAGAGACGCGGTAGGCAGTGGGGGGCGAGCGGCCTGCATCAGCGACGCCATCTGGGTTCCACGAGTCCTCGGTGAAGGTAGTGGCGGGATCGAAGAGCCTCTCCTCGGAAAGGACAGCTGCGAAAGACGATGTGATGACGACGCGCTTCACAGACGGCGCGGAGCGGTGGATGGCCTCGAGGATACCTCGTGTGCCATTGAGGGCCGGATCGATGAGCTCCGTCTGAGCGTCCGTCCACTTAAAGTGAAAGGGGCTGGCAGTGTGCAGGACGACCTCGAGCCCGTCTGCGTTGGCGGCGATGACCTCGTCAAAGGCGGTGGGCTGGGCAATGTCCCCGACGGTTACGACGGTGAGGCGGCCCTGCTGGATGCTGTCTGGATGGGCGGCGCGGATCTTCTGGGCCTTTTCCTCGGTGCGGACGGTGGTGATGACGGTGTGGTTCTTGACGAGGAGTTGTTCGAGGATGTGGGCTTTATGTTTGTTAGCTTAAATTCTCCTTCTTTGGTTCTCTTGTTGTTGAGTGAGAATCATGGATGAGTAGTGAAATCTTGAAAGGGGTATTTTGGTGGTGCTATAATTGTCTCATGTCTTGTCATAGGACAATCAGAGTTGAAGGCCCGAAATGAAGCGAAACATACCGGCAATGAAGCCTGAGCCACCTATTTCATTTCATATTAGCAAAGCCAGTTCAAGCTCATATATGAAGTCTTGAGATGCAACTTACCTGTGAGAAGAACCTTGGTCATCGTGCCTTATTTCAAGCTATTTCCCTCTTTCTCAACGAGTGTAGATCCAACGAAATAGTAGATAGGTAGTTTCACAACTCTCGTTCAACTCAAGTCCAAGCAACCTGTCCAAGTTCGAAAAAACAATAAGGAAGGGAGGAAATGGAGATAGAAATAGACGAAACAAGTTCAACAAATAGTTCAAACCAGAGAAACGGAACAAGAAAAAAGCACCAATAACTTCCTGTTTTTCCATCGCCAATGGACCCCCAATCTTGACGTCAAATCACGTCTTTTTGATCCCCCCCCCCCCCCCCGCCTCCAATTTCTCTTCCCCGCCGCAAGTCGAAAGCGGGTCAAAACCCCCCAAGGGACTTAGCTCGATAACTAGCAACAGGAGGAAATAACAGAAAATCCCTCCACTAGGAGAGATATATCCGATCGGAGATAAAGAAACCCTGGCTATATGTGGCTAAATGCTAAATACGAATAAACGAATAGATTGTTAGTATATACTCCGTAACTTGGGGTAGAATGAACTATAGCACTATAGCCATGGAGTTTGGGGTGACTTAATACCGATGTATTACACAACACAAAAGTGTATGGACCTCAAATCACAAGTCATGTCAGGTTGCCATCTTGTTAAACATAAAAAAACAGGAAACAGTGATATTCCGAGGTATCAGAAATCCAGCGGTGATTCAATGTACAAGATAGAGATTTTAATACAGTACAGCAGCATTCATCAAGACCCAATTTATGTCTCAGATGCATTGCATTTCATTTCAGGCCACACCACGCTGTTCAAAGGGCCCCCTTCCAATACGCTTACCAGTTTGAAAAAAGACTTCCTCCAGATGTGCACGGCGATAGGAAATAAGTCGTCCAGGCCATGGAGATAACTCCTTCGGTCTTCCTTTTCAAAGATCCGGAATGTCAAAAACATCGCTTCGGCTTGCTCGCTAGCCAAACCCTGTTGGCCACTGCGAAGTAGAGAGCTCCATGCAAATAAAAAAGAAGGATTGTGTTTCCCACTAGCCCATATCGATATTCGTCACTTCATAGCATATTACCACGCTTTTGCCTCGCCATGTCAAATCATGCCGTCATACCACAACCGCCACCGCCATCATCATGCTCACAACCGTCCTCATGTGGCAGATGACCTAGCAGAAGCCGGGGGAGCTGGTGTTTCGGGAGGGTGAGGCTGAGGCACTCCCAGGCCCGGAGGTCGAGGGATTTCGTCCGGGATTGGTAGTGTGAGCGGTCCCTTGGGCACAACTGTCCGACCTGGTAGCTTCTCTCCTCGGATTACTTTCTCAACCTCCTCCTTATCTAGCGTCTCGTATTGTACCAACGCTTGGGCTAGCAAGTCAAGTTCCTTGCGCTTCTCCGTCAGGACCTTTCTCACGTCTTCATATGATTTTCTCAGCGTCTTCTGGACTTCGCCCTCAATCACGGCCTTGGTCTCAGAACTGAGGTTCTCATATCTTCTGCCATACTCAACAGGCCCCAAGGCGTTGGACATGCCGAAGTGGGTGACCATCATAAAACTCAGGTCAGTAGCTCTCTCCAGATCCTGTAAACAGGTGTATTAGCGCGCGTTCGCATTCACGATACATGTGTTTCTTTGGTTTTCGAAAAGAAAGGGGGGTATAAAACATACATTGGAAACACCGGACGTCACTTTATCGTCACCGTATCGCATCTCTTCCGCCATCTTGCCTCCAAGAAGAACCCGGATATTGGACATGTATTCGGCCGCGGTGTATGAGTACTTGTCCATGGCAGGGACATGAGCAGTGTGGCCCAGGGAAGGGCCCTTGGGAAGAATTGTAACCTTGTAGAGTCTGTTGGAGCTTTCCTTTTCGAACAATTGGACAAGAGCGTGGCCAGCTTCGTGATATGCCGTCATTTCCTTTTCCTTTTCCGTCACCACCATTGACTTTCTTTCAGCGCCCATGGTGATTCGGTCGAATGCCCAGTCGATATCTTGCTTAGAAACCTCGCGGGCCTTCGCTCTGCTAGCTCGCAAGGCCGCGACATTCAGCATGTTCTCAAGGTCGGCACCAGATTGACCGGGTGCGCGTGCAGCAATGGAGTCAAGATCCACATCCGGTGCCAGTCTGATCTTCTTAGCATGGTGCTTCAGAATAGCAATGCGTCCGCGAACGTCTGGCAGGTCCACGTTGATGTGTCGGTCGAATCGCCCGGGCCTGGTAAGAGCCTTATCCAGCAATTTGGGCAAGTTGGTGGCAGCCATGATGATGATCTTTGTATCCGTGTCGAATCCATCGAGTTCCGTGAGCAACTGGTTCAGAGTCTGCTTGGAGTGAGCTTGATCCCTTGGGTTACGTTTTCCACCAATAGCATCCAGTTCATCGATAAAGATAATGGCAGGAGACTTGGCTTTGGCCGCCGCAAATAGCTCTCGAACGCGCTTGGCTCCGACACCAACAAAGATTTCATCGAATTCACTGCCAGACATGTAGAAGAAGGGGACGCCAGCCTCTCCAGCAACGGCTCGAGCGAGCAGCGTCTTTCCAGTACCAGGGGGTCCAACAAGGAGAACACCTTTGGGCAGCTTAGCACCTAGGTCAGAGAAGCTATCCGGGTTGCGGAGGAATTCGACCACCTCCTGCAGCTCTTCCTTGGCCTCGTCGCATCCATGAACATCGTCAAAACGGGTTGTCTGTTTCTCAGCCTTGACCTCAGAATCGGTCTTGGCTCCTGGTCCACGCCTGAAGGTGCTCAGCGTCTCAATCAGGATCGTCACGGCAGCGAAGCAAAGGTAGGTGAAAACAATGAAGGTAGCGAAAAACTTGACCCAACGGAAAACAAGCGACCGGGTGGACTCTTGAACAACAACGTGGATTGGCTCTCCCTTGACGCCCATCGATCCGCTAAGGGCGGCATTCGCAATGGCCTGTTCATTTCCTGCCCATTGTCCACGTGCAAATCCCGGCGTCGCTGTAGCTGTCGCCACGGTGGTGCTCGTACCGCTATTGAGAGCGGCCAGGGCCCGTTTGTAAGCGTCCTCGGTGCCTGCGTTTGTTGCGAAACGGCCAGTTTGGTATCTTTCCACCAAGATGCCAGGCATGTTTGCTCTCAAGAGAAGCTGGTAAAAGGCATTTTGAAGGTTTGCGTTTCCGGGGTTCCTGTTTGCTGATTCTTCGACAGAAGCTAATTGACTGCGAGAAATTCCATTCGACGTTCCAAAGCCTCTGTGCTGCATACCGAGTGTTCCGGAGAGAATCCGGGTCGTAGACATTGCGCGTAGCGGGGACGAGACGGCAGGAGTAGATCGCATAAACAGGTTGACAAGGGGAGATGATACAGTATTGACAGGTTGGAAGTAAGGCCGCCGAAGGATTGGGTTCGCCGCGAGCAACCCAACTCGGCCCAGTCCAGAGATGGAAGCGCGGACGTCCGTTGGTGCCATCGCGTTGGGTGTTATGGCCTTAAGTGCGTGCGTTGGTGCTTCTTGGAGGAAATCGGGTAACTGAGGTCGCGCCGACTGGGAAAGCGCCAGCAAAGTTAACACTGCAGGTCGTTATAAATGCTGTACAAGGAGTGTTCTCACCTTTTCTGTCGCTTCAACCACGGAACTGGTCCGCGCAGTCTCGGCTCCAGCAGTAACATCGGCTTGCTGGCGCGGCACCGGCGAGGGTCGCCAGGGTCTCATGAGAGTGTTGGTGATGGAAGGTAAGGTGTCCGCCGCGGCTGCTGCCATGGACTGTTCAATTCCGAGTCAGCACATGGCCTCGGTTTTCGGGGTTCAGGTGGTGATGGGACCTGGGCAGGTACTTACAGGCAGCAAGCCACCGTGGAACGCCATCGCCGCGAGTGACGCCGCCTATCTTAAGGCGAAGATTGGGTATTGAATGTCAAGCCCCGCGATGACAAGAGAATGGAAACCAGAGACAAAGGATGCAAGGATAGTCAATGCCGTCCTAACGTATGACGTGGAGCAGCAGCCTGCCGGGCCAAGACCTGGCGCTATTGGGAAGCCGACCAGGTCCAGCAACGGCAATAGATAAGAATGAGCTTGGATCCGTGGATCCCTCCCCCTACCAATCGTCGAGAAGAAGGATAGTAGTTGGTCGCAGGCGAGGAGATTTCCGAGTGCAAAAAACTTCTACCTCGATGCCCTCATGATGCCGGTTGGATTCACAACAGTATAAGGGCGGGAAGAGATCTTGCCACTGACCGGCAACGAGAGGGCCGACCAGCTTCCGAGCCTTCACCGGGCTAGTCGGCGCGACAGGTCACCTGACCGGCCAGACAGAAGCTTGTAGAAAAAGCCCAATAGAAAAAGCCGGGGCCCACCCATCAGTTTTTGGAATGCCGCAGCCACATTCCCAGTGCCACTGACTTATAGTCACAAAGTGCATTAACAGAGAGTTTAGCTTGATCTCGATAACAATAAAGCAGATTGTTTTTATACTTGGCTTTATGCTGTTGAAATAAAACCACGTTTTATACATATTTACATATAACATATACACAGAGTTGCCAATATACATAATCAATACACGCAATTAGTCCGCCTCACTCATAGCACCGTGCTATTCCATAGAATGCCCTGCCGCCTCCCTCCGTGCCGCCCGCAGAAGGAGAAGAAATAAGAAAAAGAGAAAAGAAAAAGAAAAGAAAAAACAAATATCCGCCCCAAAGTAACTCCAAGTGTTTCTAACCCTCGTTTGTTTTATTCCGGTTTATTATTAAGAGCAGCTGGAGCTGGAGAATTGCTGATCCCATCTCGCCCCAAAGTCCGCCGAAGCAGTTTTTGCTTCCTGTACACCAAACGGACTTGTCGCTGCTTACATAGTGTACACACCATACGTCTCGTATCCATACCATGGCTCAGACTTCACCGATGTGGGAGAACCGTATCGTCCCACAATATGGCTTGGAATTTGCCCTGGATGGATCAGCATTTGCTGCCGTGCTTGAGCCAACTGTTGAGAGTAGGTCATTATTGATGCGGGCTGTCCCAGAGAACCTACGGTCTTCAATGGGTATGTTGAATTCTGCAGTCCCATGTACTTGTGATAGCCCTTTTGTGATAAAGCGCCTTGTGTAGAAGTTGACTGGAGGCTCGCAGGACTGTTGTGTGGAGTAGTATTAAGACCCAGGTTCGAATACGACAGGTCCATTGCGGATTGTCCAATCGATCCAGTATACTGATCATCCAAGCTCATCGTCTCAATATGAGCATTGCCTTGCCCAATGCTATATAAGGGCATGCTGCTGAATCGATGCAGTGTAGTAATGTCTTGCAGTTCATCAGCAGCGGTGTGAGGGGAATGAAATGGCTCATCCAGGCAGCAGATATGCACCTGGCCATCAAGATCGGAAGCAGGTGGAGTGTGTTGGAATATGCTTCCTTGTAGTGCCGAGACGTGGTGAGCGCCGATGCCATGAAGAGGCTGTGGGGTGGATGGTTGGGCCGGCATAGACGACGAGCGGCTGGATTCTGAATCAGAGATGCAATCGATTTGCCCGCCGAAAATATCGCGCTGTTGAGAGTGATGTCTCTGCCTGACGGCGAGCTTGTTACGGCAAAAGCTAGTCTGGTCAGTTACACAACTTCAGTTGAAGAGGACCTTGTGGTTCATACCTCTTCGGACAGTCGATATGCGCACATCGGCGACTACGGCTCCCAGTGTGTACGTGGCGGTGCCTGGCAAGGCTTGATGACTATTCGCATTATGAGTTTTCCGATTCGTCTTGGGGAATTTGTAGATGACCTACATCTGAGAACCTCTTTGTGCATCCAGGATATTTGCATTTGTGCGGCTTCTCGCCAGTATGTGTCCGAGTGTGCACAGCTAGAGCGCTGCGCTGAATGAACCGCTTTTCGCAGCCAGGAGCTGTACATGGATGTGGTCGCTCATTCGTGTGAATTTTGTAGTGCCTTGTTAGGTCTGACCTGCGTTTGAAATCCTTGTAGTTTGTCAATATGTGTGCAAGAATATCCGCGGCTAGGTAACCAATTGCTATCCGTACCTTGTTACAGGACTCCCAATCGCAGGCAAACGGCCTCAAGTCAGGCCCGTCTGTGAATCCCTTGAACGTCATTTGAGACATAGGGGCGTTTTTGGAAGACTCTTGTATTATTAATATGGCTGATCTGCTTGACAGTTGGTGATATGGCAGACGCTTTTATGAGAAGATGGCCTTGGAAAGGAATGGGTACAATTGGCCTTGGGATCAACTGATTGGAATGGCTATAGTTGGTAGGAGATGAAATTGGGTTTGGATGAGTGCGCGAAAAGGGTAATATATATACGAGTGTGCATATATATGCATACAATGAATGTATAGTCCCGTGGATACTCTTGGTCTCGGAAGAGTCAAGGCACAACTTAATTGTCCAGCAGCAGATTGAACAAATATAGTGCAGCTAAGATGCAAGATACCGGTGACTTCCACACCGGTCCAATTGCGGATCCTCAGATGTAGCAGTGAGATTTGAGTGGCTTGAGTGGTATAAATTTGTGGTCCAGTAGATGGCCAAAGCGAGCTGGAAGAAGCGGGTAGATCCTAGCCCATTGGTCCCGCGGAATCAGAGGAGGCTCCGGAATGACGCTATGTCTTGTAGTTCCAAAGACGTTGTGCAACCGGTGCTAGGAAGAGAGTGGATGACAGCGGCCTGGGAAAGAATCCGGTAGGACAAGCAATCAAAATTTCTGAGAGTTGAACGCAGGTCGGCGGTATTGATAAGCTGAAAGCAAGGAGTGGCGATAGTACAGCCCCAGCTTTAGGAATAGAGCCAAGAAAGAGAGTGAAAGGATAAGATGATTGTTGCGTATTCGTCGTATTTTTTCCTGTGTTGCATCAATGGCAGGGAAAGACTATCGGTGCTCGGCAAAGCCGTGATGGAGCTCAGAGGAGACAAAGTGATGCCATACGTATATATATCTTTTTACAGGAACCCAAGACCTGTGAGTTGATTCGAATACAGCTAGCCGCGTATATGATACGATGGCCGAAGCAGGGATTCGGCATGCATTGGATGGCACTGCGGGAACAGCGGTGGTCGCCACTCCTCTGGGGAGCCAATCTAGGCAAAGCTGCGAAGCTCGGCTGTAATCGCATGTACATTGGGAAGTATTGATGGAGCAATGTACCTGGATAGTGTTGACCAGGGGTCCATCAAGCACGAGACGAACAAGAAAACAAACCCCCATGTCTGTTTTGGAACCGTCTCAATCGGCCATGTGGGAAGAACTTGACCACGACTATTTTAGTTCGGATAAAGCGAATGTGACTGGCTGTGCTCAAACACATGGGCCACAGAATCTCGCTCGATCGAGTCTAGAGACGCACCTGGTGAGAGCGAAGCCTGAGGGTCTTGCAGCCGTTTCATCGTGAGGCACGGGGAATACTCAGGGCCAGAGGGAGGGCGGCCAAGCTCAGAATGGAGCTCACCTGACTCTTGCCGGTGGTCCATGATGCATCGAAGACAAATGGAGAAATTTTGCCACGCAAAGGTAGGGCAGACGATGTGGGCTTTCCTGAGGAATACCACATAATGGGACATGGGGGCTGTTGTTGCGCGCGGATGCTTTTTTTTGCTAAGCGGGTCGGTCTGGGCGGGCCGAGAAGGATGAGGAAGCGCCTCTAGACGCAAATCGCTTGCCCAGCGATAAGAAATCCCACGATTCCTTTCATTGTGTCCTTTGTCTTTGCTTAACAATGTTGTCTGAGCGGTAGGATTAGTTGCTTGACGCATGACATTGCATCCAGACGTGCGGGTGTCTGCCCGAACTTCCAGAGTAGGCTCAGCTGCGAGGATCGCCAGAGCAAGGACCAGGAGAAGGGATGAATGTCTGGAGGATGAGAGGACGACAAAAGTAGCAATGGATGTGGGGACGAGTATGAAGCAAGAAATGCATCAATGGCAGGCTGTGCTGACACGGTATGACATGCAGGTACGGGATCCAGTGTCAACGCTGCTACTATCGCAACAGACAGAGCGGCCGTCTCGCATGTATAAGAGAGCGAGGAGAAGGATTTTACGGTCAACCCGTGTCTATGCGGTGCTGTGTATGGGTCCTGCAAGGCAATGCCATCGATTCGTCAGGATCCCACGGAAATCGCAGGCTGTCTGAGGCCCTGTGAGATGCGATTTTGCGGGGGAGCAGCTCTGGGTGAGCAGCTCTGGGTGAGCAGCTCTGGGTGAGGAGGATTGAGTGTCTGGTGTATTGATCGCCGCCTCTAATTGGTGCGTGAAGAAGCACAAGTAAACAGTTGACAGGGGATCGTGGGGGTGGGGTGAAACACCGAATAGCTGCATATCATGCGATAATAGCATAGATCTACGTACCTATCTATGCATCAAGGCCCTACGCATGCCTCTAAGTGCCTGCAATGGAATTTACGCTTGATCTGCCGCTAAAATTTAGGCCAGGACCAGGTGCCACGCCAACCCACTCGGGAGAGACCGAGGTTGTGATGTGGATCTTTGTGTTCCAGATGATGTGATGCAGCTTGTTGTGAAGCCTCAAGAGATGGTTTGTGCTGTGCAGCCAGCCACGCAAAGTACCTGCAGATGGATTTACTAAGACGTGTAATTTCAAGCGGTGCACTTTCTTTCGATGGGACTTTTGGTTTTATTGCCTCCGAGATGTGTAAGTGATGGTGCATTCTGCCCAGACCACCTAGTACCTAATGGTAAAACACCCCATGTAAGTATATACATAGTACACCTGTGATGTGTGAAGACATCAAGGTACAATAATCAAACTGTGGCCCTTGGGCATGGAAACTCCTTTTTGAATCCAATTTAACTTACGGCCAGAGTTTCAGGTTCATTCATAGTATAAAGGAGAGTGAGTGTGTGTGAGATTCATGCATGCGGTGGAATCACTTCAACACCATCATGGTAATACTCCGTGGAGTTATTAATTACAGAGCACATCGTAATTACTTTGCAGGCGATTCCATAAACCCATGTCACTGTTTTTGCCATCAGGTTGCCGTTTCTTTTTTGTTTACGCCTGGGATCGAACGATCCGGTCTTAATGTTGCGCCTGGAGTGCTCCGCCCTGTCCGTCTCAGTTGGCTCCTGGGCTTTCCGACCTGATTGCCGATAGCAAAGATGAAACGCAGAGCTCATAAAGGCCTGCCGCTGCGGGAATGCCGGTTTGATAAGCCCCAATCCAGCTGCTACCTCAGGTACACGTGGGAGAGGGTGCTATGATTGACAAGGTAGCCTGGTACGGACAAGGTCAAGGAGGGTGAAAGAGCTTCTCCACCGCGGCTATTGCGCAAAACGGGGGATCGCCATCAAGCATCTAGTGCTGGGCCTTGTCCCTTCGGACTTAGGGCTTCCTACCAGGAGAAGGCTGGCAGATGCAATTCAGGACTTAGTAATGCATCCATATCTCAATAGGCTATATTGGAACTTCTCTTTCCATCTGTCCCGGGCAGGGTTGAGGCATGAGCGTGGCTGGCAAGCTGTAATCTGGGCTGCCTGAGCTTGATCATATCGGCCTTCTCTTTGCAGCCACACCATCTTCTTCCATTGGGCCGCTTTTGGCACGTTCGAGCTGGGAGCTGGAAAACCCGCGCCTGCAACCGAGGCCAAGATGGTGGTAATCTCACTCACAAACGGGCGATATATACAGGGTTTCAGGGCTTGGGAGGTATAGTAGGTACATTAGGAAATGCCCACGTGCAAAGGCTGAATGAGGCGCCTACCTAATCGCGCATGATTACAGGTAGGTACCTAGTAGTAGACTTATCGTCACCTGAGGCCCTCTTCCAAGTACCTTCACGTACCTTCCATAGTAGAACCTAGTAGACTTTAGCTCGGCCAGGTCGGTACTTGCATTTTGCATCATCATCGTCTGCAGGGGCCCAAAGACAGCAGCATCACAGCGACACCTTAATCCAAAACCCAGCTTCCGCTGTACCGACTAGCAAGCCATCACTCGCGTGGCGGGCAAGGAAAGATGCTGGACCGACATGGACATGGACAGGGCAGCACCCGCGTGGTATTACTCCGCGCTGGTATGGGCAGGTCTGGAGGAGAAGATGGCGACTCGTCTCCTCTCCATGATGCCTGTAGATGCCTTCGCGCACGGGGCAACTGGCACCTTGCCATGCTCGCGGCAAGTCATGCGGCTAGATTCCCGATGAGCCAGGTTGGCTTTGTGTCGCCCGTGGCCACTGCACCGCACTGCTTTGCTGCCACTGCTACTGCTGCAGTGTCAGCAACCTGACCAAGGACCCAGAAAACATCGGATCAGTCTACATGCGGGTTTGGATTGCTGGCGGAATTCTCGAAGCCGCTCAGTCGGCATCCAGATGTGCGTCTCACCCCTCCGCTGCCCAATTCCCAGTGCACGCAATCACTGTCACGCCGATACTACGCTCGTGAGGCAAATACCCCCATCGCTTCAGGTCTGAGAGGCTGGGGCAGTTCTTGACCAGGGAAAAGGTGGGGAGGAGTCTGGAATCCTTGTCTATAATTGCTCAAATATTGCATTAGCACTTTGCAGGGGTTCTATATCCAGTCAACAATGCCATTCGACCAAACCCTGCCTAGGGAACAATTGCCGGGGTATTAGCAACCCATTCTTGGCCCTACCGAGCAGGGCTGGCAGCACGTACAAAGAAACTGTCACACGAGCGGGAATAAACAACCAACCAGTATTCAGCAATGTTTTGTCTACAGAGAGAGATAGGGCTAAACGAACACGTACTGTCATATACAGTGCTGATCTGCTGTTCGCATACAAATCCTCTTATTACTGGCCAGTATCCGCATCACACCCGTGGCGGGCACGGCGGAATTTAGCTCCCCGAGACGAGTCTATCGATCTGCTAAAGCATCAATGCGCTCTTGGTCGAAGAGGATTGCGAGCTTCGTGCCCGTGTTTGCATAAGACGCTAGTCCCGACGTCATCTCTGCTCCTGGGAACAACTAAAAACATAAGCGTTTCAGAGAGCTCCTACAAATGCGACGCACAATCACTCGCCGAGTGGCAGAGGTACCTATGCATCAGGATTCCCGCCTCAATAAATGGAATGCTCCAAGGATGCCCAATGCTACTACGAAGTGATGCCAC